TTAACATGAAGCAAGTAGGTCTCAAGTCTTTTTCAGGCTGGCGGGATGTCATGAGTGATGCATCACGGGGGTCAGTGTGCAGCCCCAATTCTTCACGATTCATATAAATGATTTAGATGAAGGAACTGAGGGATGGTAACTAATTTTGCTGATGTCACAAAGTTAGGCAAGAAGTGAGTTGTGAAGAGGACACAAGGAGAACTACACGGTAAACTGAAAATTACCCATTTTGGCAGAGAGATTTTTTTTAAAAATTACCTAAATGGTGAGCAATTGCAGTGCTGATGCAAACAGATCTGGGCATGAATTGTTGAAGGTTAGTACACAGCCAGAGCAAGTAATCAAGAAAACTAATAGAATAGGTCCCATATGGGAGACCAACAGTAAACACAAAGCCCATGGAATCCAAAGAAAGTTGCCTAATTGGATCCAAAATTGGCTGACTAGCAGGAAGCAGAGGGTGATGGTCGATGGGTGTGAATGTGATTGGAAGCCTGTGTCCAGACAGGCTCCTCAGGGATCAATGTTGGGCCCCTTGCTGTATGTGGTATATATTAATGATTTAGACTCAAATATAGGACGTTTGATCAGTAGGTTTGTGGAGGATTCCAAAATTGGTGGACAGTGAGGAAGATAGTCTTAGAGTACAGAAGGAATTAGAAGAGCTGGTCAGATGGGCTGATCAACGGTAAATGGAATTCAATCCAGAGAAGTGAGGGGTGATTCACTTGGATGGGACAAACAAGGCAAGGGGTTACATGCTAAACAGTATGACCTTGAGAAAAACCGAGGATCAGAGGGGCGTTTGTGTGTATAGCCACTGGCCTCTTAAGGGAGCAGGGCAGGTAGATTAAGTGGTTAAGAAGGTAGATGGAATATTTGTATTTATTAATCAAGGCGTAGAGTTTAAGAGCAGGGAGGTTATACTGGAACTGTATAAAACACTGGTTAGGCCATAGCTACAGAATTGTATACAGTTCTGGAATTCACCTTATAAGAGGGACGTGAGCGTACTGGAGAGGGTGCAGAGAGCTTTTACCAGGATGCTGCCTCAGCTGGAGAGATTCAGTTATAAAAAGAGATTGAATAGATTAGTGTTTTGTTTCCTTAAAGCAATTTAGAGTTGAGGCTAAAATTCAGATCTGCCATATTATTGAATGGCAGAGCAGACTCAAAAGGCTGTGCGGCCTATTGTATTCGTTGCCCATATAGAACATAGAACAGTACAGCACAGTACAGACCCTTCATCCCACGATGTTGTGCCGAACTTTTGCCCTAATCCTAAAGTCTATCTAACCTCCACCCCTACCTTATACTATCATCCATAGGCCTATCTAATAGCCGCTTAAATGCCCCCAATGAGGCCGACTCCACTACCCTCTCCGGCAATGCATTCCACGCCCCAACCACTCTCTGAGTAAAGAACCTACCTCTGACGTCTCCCCGATATCTACCTCCACTCACTTTAAAATTATGCCCCCTCCTAATAGCTACCTCCACCCTCGGAAAAAGTCTCTGGCTGTCTACTCTATCTATACCTCTGATCATTCTACACCTCTATCAAGTCACCTCTCATCCTTCGACGTTCTAAAGTGAAAATCCCTAGCTCTCTTAACCTTTCCATGTAAGATCTTCCCTCCATTCCAGGCAACATCCTAGTAAATCTCCTCTGCACCTTTTCCAACACTTCCACATCTTTCCTGTAATGAGGTGACCAGAACTGGACACAATACTCCAGATGTGGCCGAACCAGGCTTTTGTATAGCTGGAGCATAACTTCACGGCTCTTGAACTCAATCCCTCTATTAATGAAAGCTAACACACCATACGCCTTCTTAACAACTCTATCCACCTGGGTGGCAGTTTTCAGGGAACTGTGGACATGAACCCAGAGATCCCTCTGCTCCTCCACACTGCCAAGAATCTTTCCGTTAACCCTGTATTCTGCTTTCAAGTTTGTCCTTCCAAAATGAATCACCTCACACTTTTCAGAGTTAAACTCCATCAGCCACTTCTCAGCCCAGCTCTGTACCCTATCAATGTCCCTTTGTAACCTAGAACAGCCCTCCGCACTGTCCACAACGCGACCCACCTTTGTATAATCCGCGAACTTACTAATCCACCCTTCCACTCCTTCATCCAAATCATTTACAAAAAATCACAAATAGAGGAGCACCCAGAACAGATCCTTGTGGTACACCACTCGTAACTGAGCACCATATGTTCGTATCCCGTTGACTGCAATTTACCTGAACATTAAACAATGCACGTAATAATGGGAAAGCTGGTGATATCATCTATTTTGCGCCACCATTCAAATCGAACTATGACTTCAATATTGTAGGTGATATGAGATGAGCTCTAAAATTTGCTGACATTTTTGTCCTTACTATCTGTATCAAGAAAACTGTAGCTATAGGAAATGGTGTTGTGTCCCTGCCTGTGATTAGACTTCACACCATGCTACTGGAAGCAGTCAGGAAATTTTGGAACCTTGGGTTCTACAATGACAGACAACTGTTCGTTGATTAAAAGTCTTCAAACCACAAAACGATCCACTAAAGTGTTCATCCTGAAGGCATGTATCTTCAGTACATTGTCCACGCTTTGCTGCTGTACAGCAATCTACAGCTCCATCCAAAATAAAAGACACAATAACCTCAAACTACAGTGTCTATGACACATCATTGGCACCACACATGGCAAGACAAAGTCACCAGCTTAGCACTCTTTTTCCACGGCAAATATGCCAAGCTTGTTCATAATAGATAAGCAAAGAAGACTTCGTCGATTTGAGCATGTGCACAGGAGGAAGGTGCCACATCCCCTAAAAGGCAGTCCACACCAAGAGAGCATCAGGGAGCCAAAAGTTTCATTTCAAAGATCCTATCAAAAGAAACCTTCTACATGAACCATGACATGTGGAAACTCTAGCTGACAACTAATACACTGCCAACACTGAATGTGGGCAGAGGTTCACTACCACATGGACCTGTGGCTTCAGCACTGCAAACAAAGCATCAGCAGAGGTCATTTTACATCGTTCACAAGGAGCAACTACACATGTAGCTCCCAGGAAAAACTTTGCCTTTCTAGAATTGGATGTTCAGCCAATAAAAATGCAGATTCTGTCATCTGACTTAGCCAAATTCTGAAGTTGATTCCCATCATCTCTAGCAAATGAATGTTGACAACAACCAATCTGTAACGATCAAACTACACCAAGTTACAACTCAAATATGTAAATGAATACTTTAAGAATATTTATATATTTTTAAAATTATATTCTTAACTGTACTGGTTCATAGCACATTCAGCAATACACAAAAGCTTGTGTGAAAGCCTGAGCCAAGTTTTTATAAATGTATACACACAAATGCACAAATCACCCATTTATATTAACTGCTTTGCTGCTATATTGTCTCATTTTGATTGATGGATATTGCCATTACTGACTATCCAAACTTAACTAATGTTTTAACATATCCACTGATGAATCAAAGAATGTTATAAGTGACATCTGACGAATAGGATATCCTGCCTTGGGATTTTTAAAAAAAATCTGGTCATGCGCTGTGGGCATCATTAACTGCGCTGTTTTCTTTAAAACTCTGAATACCCAATTGTCCTTGAGGTGATGGTGATCTTGAACCACTGTAATCCTTGGAGTTAGACACACCCAAAGTGCTTTTAAGAAGAACTGTCCTCCTAAAGATAGGTAAAACATTAGTTTCATATTTTATTCAAAAGTACAAGATAATACCTCCTCAGTGCAACAGTCAGTTGACTGTATCCCAGGGTTTTAGATATCTAACCAATCTGTTCAGGAATTATACACCCCTCTGCAGATGGGACTTGAACTCGGGTCTCCTGTTTCAAAGGTAGGGATACAACTGCTGTGCAACAAAGGACTTTTTTTAAAATAGAAAATATGGATAAGGTTCATTTTGTCACATTGTAGTGACATGGCACTGCCAATCTGTGTCCAGCACACGCAGGGGCACCATGCCACAGGTGATGGTTTTAATAATAACCTTAGCTTGCACCAAAAGCCATTGCAATGGAACCTGACTAATTGTTACCAAAGTTACATAGTTTGTGCAGGGTCCCCTGGATGGTTATCAGGAGTGGGGACAAAGATTGATTCCACTGACGCCAAATCCAGACATAGATGTTTTAATCAACTTCTGGAACAAATGGGACTTGAACCCAGCTTTCCTAGCTCAGAAGTAGGGACACTACCAATGTATCACAGGAGTCCTAAATACAAAGGCTTTTTTCTAAATTTTTATTTAGCCTAATTTTGTAATCAATCCGTTCAGAGATGTTATGACACATCTCTAGAGCATGTGGGACTTGAACCTGGGCCTTAGTCCAGGGGTAAGGCCATTACCACTGTGCCACAAGAGGACCCTTAAAAGCAAAGATTTAACAGTTCTAAGTACTGGACAAGAGCTGACATACCAGCAGCACTGTGGACTGCAGTTTTACTTTTGACTTTTAAATAACAGAATTGTCCCATTGAAACTAAAATGAGAGACATACTAAAGTAGTACATTTTTCTGGACACACTAAATGTTAAAAGAAGCATTGTTGATGGTTTAAATGAAGATATCAAGAAATCAGTTATTTCATTAGGCAGAAGGGTATTTTTAAAACAGACATATAATCTATCAATACCATTCAGATAATGTATTTCTATCATTCCAGGTGATACTGTTGGGCATACTTTAAGATCAAAAGGTTAATCCAAATGAAGCACGGTGAACTCAGATTATCTTTTTTCTGTAACTACACAATGCATTATATACAGTTAGGCCAAATAAATTGACACTTGTTTTCACTCCAAGAACTTAGTGAGGCTTTAGACATTTGCCATAATAGAATTTTTGTTCCTTTTCTATGTATGTGTCTAATCAGTGGATATGAATAGATAAACAACTTTTAATATGATTTTAATTACGTAACATTCAGACAATCCTGTCACTTTATAAACTTACCTTCAAATTACCAAGATCAAGAACCAATAAGCTGGCAGATTTATCAAAAAAACCATTCTGTGGAATAATGACGTAAGAAGCCATGAGATTCACTTTTAAGTCCAGGACTTTCTGTGTCTCAATAATGTACATTAAGCCTGTAAATAGCACAAAATGTATTAATATCTCATGAATACAATAAGTGGGCAATCTTTAATGAGATCATGTTTACTTTTTTAAAAAATACATTGATATGACTAAATGCAAGAATGTTTATCCAGCCAGAAAAAGGTACATGTTCTACATTCCTACCTTGGGAAAATTTGTGTAATGTTACCTACAGTCCAGTCAACAGTCTACACTAGTCAAAAGAATGATTACTGCCTGAAAATTACAAAGATACTTCAAGAACTTTTACAACAATAGCTGTTCTCGTACTCTTAAAATAGTAGTTTCGATATATAAATGTTAAGTTCTGCAATTTGGCTCTTCAGTTTTACCCTACATTAACTGGCTGTTCAAGATTCAGTGTCAGAGATTCAGCACAAGAAAAGAATGTCAATAATTACTGAACATGAATTGAAAGCAGAATTACGTCTAGATTGCAAGGCACAAAAGTGAATGCTTATTTATGCCATCCCATAATACATGTCGAAATATTAACTGCACATCAAGAAAACAAAAACAAGGATGATGTAACACAATACTGTAAGAATTTATTTCCCATTATTTGTTAAATAAAATATAAATATATTTTCTTGGTGATAGCTAAGAGGATTAAAATGTCTCATTATAAAAATTGATTCCTCTGGAGTTGACATAAACACATGAGTTTTGCTTCTATGTTCTCAAAGATATCATTATTTACCACTATTAAAAAGATCATAAGTATTTTCAAAGATTGCAAAATAATGTTCAATCCTAAGCCATAAGACAATAAGAAATCAGAACAAAAGTAGGGCATTTTGATCCCTTGAACCTGCTCTGCCATTTAATGGGGCCAAGGCATTGTATAAGTACAAGGACTTGGTTCCAAAGTCTCTCAACCCCTCCTCATCTGTCTTAAATTGGTACCTTAAGTCTGAGATAATGTCTCCTGGTCCTACAACTCCCACAAGGGGAAGCATCCTCTCGACATTTACCCTGTTAAAGCCCTTTCTGAATCTTACGTTTTCGTTTAGATCACTTCTCATTCTTCTAAATTGTAAAAAGTACAGCCCCAATCTATTTAGCCTTTGCTCATAAGTCAAGCCCTCCATACCATGGGTCACCCTTGTGAACCTTCTCTAAACTGCCTCTGGTGAAATATCTTTTCTTATATTTGGGGACCAAAACTACTAACAGTACTCCAGATGTTGTCTCACCAGCACTTTGCACAGTTGCATTAAGACTTCCCTACTCTTAAACTTCTTTGAAACGAGGGTCAACATTTCATTAGCCTTCCTGATTACGTGCTGTAACTGTATGCCAGTTTTCTGTGTTTCATGCACAAGTAACCCTAGTCACTCTGTTGCAGCTTTTCTCCATTTTAAAATACTTTTAGATCCCCCTTCCAAAATGTTCACGTTTCCCCATTTTATACTCCATTGCCAAATTTTGCTCATTTACTTACCCAATCAATCGTGCACTCTGAAGTGTTTGTATCCCTCTCTCAACCTGCCTTTCCACTTATTTTTGTCTCATCTGAAAATTTGGCTACATTGCATTCACTTCCTTCCTCCAAATCACAAATATATATTGTAAATATTTGCGGTCCAAGCACTGATACCAGAGCCAGCCCCCGGTCACTGGTTGCCATCTGAAAAAGAACCCTTTATCCCTACTTGCTGCTTCCTGCCCTTTAGCCAATTCTCTATTTATGCCATCTCAAATACCACAGGCTCTTATAATATGACTTAACCTTTTGTCAAGTACCTTGTCGAATGCCTTCTGGAAGTCCAAATACAACATATCTACTGGTTCCCCTCTATCTACTCTGGTTGAGGCTTCCTCAAAAATCACTAAAATTAGTCAGGCACAATTTCACTTTCATGGAGCAAATATTCTACCTCAATATTTATTCAAATAATTTGAGAACTAAAGAAACCACTTCAATCCATTTATCAGGGATGGAGGAATCCAAGGTATTCAGAAACAAAAAGTGAAAGGAAGAAGGGTTATACACTGATTCAGGAGAATTTACAACACAATATGAGATGGGATATGCTGGAAAGATTAAGGACATAATCTAACAAAAACAAAGTTGCTGGAAAAGCTCAGCAGGTCCGGCAGCACCTGTGAAGGAAAAAACAGAGTTAATGTTTCAGGTCCAGTGACCCTTCCTCAGGACTGGTGGTGGCTGGGAAAACGTCAGTTTATATGCAGAAAAAAGGGAGGTGGGTGGGGTAGGGAGTAAAAGATTGGGCTCTATCCTAAGAGAGAGCTAGGTGGACAGACAAAGTAGTTGCTAACGATCAGGCTGGGAGGGTGAACAGTTGTTAATGAGGACTGTTAGTGACCAACAACAGGGGGTATGCGATGGCAGGCTATGTGGTAACAAGTCCTGGTATGTGGGGTAGGGGGCTGGGACATGGGAGAGTTTAGGCCCTAAAATTTTTGAAGTCAATATTGAGTCCAGAGGGCTGTAGGGTCCCCAAGCGGAAAATGAGGTGTTGTTCCTCCAGCTTGCGTTGGGCTTTGCTGGAACACTGCAGGAAGCCAGAGACAGAGTTGTTGGCCAGGGAGCAGGGTGGTGCATTGAAGTGGCAGGCAACAAGTAGTTCAGGGTCTTTTTTGCGAGCAGGACATAGATGTTCGCAAAAGGTGTTCTGCGAAGTGGTCGCCAAGTCTACGCTTCATTTCCCCAATGTAGAGGTGACCACATTGTGAGCAGTGACTGCAGTAGACTAGATTCTGGGAAGTGCAGGTGAAGTGTTGCTTCATCTGGAAGGTATGTTTAGGCCCTTGGATACTGGGGAGGGAGGAGGTAAATGGGCAGGTGTTGCACCTTCACCAGTTACAAGGGAAGGTGCCGTAGGGCTGTGGGGAGGTGTTGGGGGTGAAGGAAGTGTGGACCGGGGTGTCCTGGAGGGAACGGTCCCTGCGGAAGGCGGACAAGGGAGGGGAGGTGGTGTCTGGTGATGGCATCTCGCTGGAGGTGGTGGAAATGGCGTCTGATGATGTTCTGACTGTGGAAGCTGGTGGGATGGTAGGTGAGGATAAGGGGAACCCTATCACTGTTGCGGGAAGGAAGAGAAGGGGTGAGGGCGGAAGTGCAGGAGATGGGTCGGTCCTGGTTAAGGGCCCTGTCAACCACGGAGGTGGGGAATGCTCGGTTGAGGAAAAAGGTGGACATTTCCGAGGCTCCCTTGTTGAAGTTGGCCTCATCTGAACATATGCGATGGAGACGGAGGAACTGAGAGAATGGGATAGAGTCTTTACAGGAAGCAGGGTGTGAGGATGTATAGTTCAGATAGCTGTGGGAGTCAGTGGGTTTGTAGTAGATATTAGTGGCCAGTCTATCCCTCCAAAAATGGAAACAGGAATGTCGAGGAAGGGAAAGGAGGAGGCAGAGATAGAGCAGGTGAAAGTGATGGCAGGGTGGAAATTGGAGGCGAAATTGATGAAGTTTTCCAATTCCAGACAGGAGAGGGAAGCAGCACCGATGATATCATCGATGTTTCAGAGAAAGAGTTGTGGGTGGGGACGGAATAGGACTGGAACAAGGAATGTTCTACGTACCCCATGAAGAGACAGGCATAATTAGGGCCCATGCAGGTACCCATGGCAACGCCTGTTACCTGAAGAAAATGAGAGGAGTTAGAAGAGAAGTTGTTGAGGGTGAGGACGAGCTCGGCCAAGCAGAGGAGGGTGGTGGTGGGTGGGGATGGTTCAGGTCTTTGCTCCAGGAAGAAGCGGAGAGCCCTAAGACTCTCCTGGTGGGGAATGGACATGTAAAGAGATTGCACGTCCATGGTAAAGAGGTGGTGGCTGGAACCAGTAAACTGGAAGTTTTGAAGCCGACGTAAGGCATCAGAGGAATTATGGATACATGTAGGCAGGGATTGGACCGGGGGGAGGAGACTGAGTCAAGGTAAGAAAAGATGAGTTCTGTGGGGCACGAACAGGCTGAAACAATGGGTCTGCTCAGGCAGTCCTGTTTGTGGATTTTTGGCAGGAGGTAGAAACAAGCTGTGCAGCGTTGGGGGACTATTAGCTTGGAAGCGGAGGAGCGGAGATCACCGGATGAAATGAGATCAGTTACAATCTATTTGATTCAAGTTAAGAAAGAGGAGGAAGTGGTATAAGACATCAACTAATGGGACAGATATTTGAGAAAATTTTCAAAATAATTAAAGGAGGTTCTGGAACACAGAGCAACTTGCCATTGTGATAATGGGGACTTGGAGTATGATGGTGGCATTGCTGATTATTCCCCCCAACCCCCAAGAAAAAAAACACTAACTGTTTCTCTTCCCACAGGAATTGAGATTTGCTGTGTATTTCCATCATTTTCTGTTTTTCTTTGATAATGTGCTGGATATGGTTTGGGAAATGAGATGGGCCAAGGGATCATGTCAGTCAGGGAAAATTTAAGGAACAGTGATCTTAACATCATACATTTTAGATTATTAATGGAAGGGACAATTAGAATGAGAATGAGAGTGTCGAAAAAAAACTCCAAAAGGAGTGAAAACAGATATGCTTCTCGGTAGAGAATGGACTGTATCCAGAACGTATGGCTCTTCTGGACTGAACACTCTTGTGGCTGCAGAGACTGATTAGTCAAGGGTGGTCTCTTCCGCAGCAGGCACTGACGAATAGTGTTAGCTTGAGGATCTGACCCAGGTAAATTGGAGTCAGAGGCTGATAAGCAGCAATAATTTGGCCTGCTTGTGAAGAGGAAACATACATTCACACAAGGGAAAAGATACAGCAAAAAATGTCAGGGCTCTATGAATGATGCAAAAGGTAGAGTAAGATGAAGCAGAAGAGTGTACATATGACAAATATAATTTGATGGAACATATGAGGAACGTGGATGAATATAGAAGGTTCAGAGGATAGGTGTAAAAAGGAATTGACAGAGCTAAGAGGAACACAAGAGGCCTGCAGCTAACAAAAAACCCCAAGTCTTCTACATACATGTTTTAGCAAAACATTAGTAAGTTTGGAAGGGGGGGGGGGGGGGGGTGGTTGCTGACTGGGTACCAAAAAGGAGATATAAATTAGAGGTAGAGGACATGGCTAATAAAGTCCATATTTATCCATGTGAAATTATCATAAAAGACAAGATGAATGAAATAATGGATGGGCTAAAAATTAATAAAAAGGCAGTACCAAAAAGACTGGCTACACCAAGTTGGTAAGTCACTAAGACACAAAGCAATAATTTCAAATAGTGGAGGTACAGGCAGGATTCTTCAAATTATCTTCAGACAAGGGAGTGATGTGACAGGACTGGAGAATTGCAAATGTCATATTCTCATGCAATAGATAGGATTAACCCAGAAATATAGGCTATTCAATTTATCTTCTCTATGGTGGGAATGGTTTTGCAAAGATCTGGGATGTAATTTACAGTCACTTGGACAATTACATATTTGGTGAAGGCAAATTGGGTTCCCCAGGGACCAGTACTAGGACCACTGTTTCTCTTGACAGGGACTTCAATGCAATTGACAATTGTTAACAGTTACAAAACTTGGAAGCTTTGGAAAGGACTGAAGCATTGAGAGGAAAATTATTAAAAATTTCAAGAGGATGTAGAAAGATTAGTGTAATGATAGACACATGGCAGATGAGATTTCATGCAAACAGTGCAACGGCATATTTCGGTATGAAGAATTGGAAAGGCAATCTAAAATTAAGGCTATATTTCGAAAAAGGGGTGCAGCAATTGAGAGACCTGAAGATATGTGGACATAAACTTGAAACCGGCAGGGCAGCTTAACAGAGAGATTAAAATACCACAGGGGATTCTGGGTATTAATTAGGTACAGAGTACAAAAGCAGGGAGAAATTATACTGACCCTTAAAAAAAAAAAAACAATGATTCGGTCTCAACTGGTACATCGCGGTCAATGCTAGGGACTCAAACAATTAAGGACCCAGCACGTATCCCTATTGCACGCCACTTAACACACCTTGAAAACTTGAAAATTACCCATTTATGCATTCTGGTGTCTCATGAGCTAACCAATCCTCCATCTACACCAAACAGATTAACCCCATGTCCTGACATCTTGTCCAATATATTCTGAAAATCCAAGTACAGCGTATTTTTTCAGGTTCCCTCTTGCCCATTTTGTTTCCTTCCTTCCTCAAATAATTGTAATAAATGAAAGGGATAGACAGAGTAGATGCATACAAGATGTTTTTCTTGGTTAGGGAGTTTAGAACAAGGGGGAATAATTTTAAAATTATGATCATGGTTAAGAGAAATACTTTTACTCAGAGTGTGGTGAATCTTTGGCATTCTCTATCCCAAAGGGCTGTGGAAGCTCAGTCTTGAATATATTTAAAGTAAAACATAGGCAAATTTTGCCTATCGGTGGTGTAAAGGGTTATGAAGATAATGTGGGTAAAAAAGCACCGAACCATTCAATTAGTCATAGTTGTACTGAATGGCAGCGCAGGCTCAGCAGGCTGAACAATCGACTCCTGTTCCTATGCTCCTAAATTAATCAAACATGATTCCTTTTCACAAAATAATATTGGCATTGCACTGATACTTGCTAAAATATTCCAAAATTTTCTCATGACAGATCTAAGCTAACTGGCCTGCAGTTTCCGGTTTTCAGTCTTCTTCCTTCCTTTCCTGATTAGAATCATTACATCACTACTTCTAATCTGATAGGACCTCTCCAGAATCTACAGAATTTTGGAAAATTAAAACCAATGCATCAACTCTCTTAGGAACCACTTCTTTTAAGATCTTTGAATAAAGTCCATCAGGACTTGGGGACTTGACAGCATTTAGAGCTAGAAACTTTTCTGTACCCTTTCCTAGTGATGTCAATAAGTTTAAGTACCTCTTTCCCTTTTACCTTTTGATTCACGATTATTTCTGAGATGTTTGGAACCAGTCAAACGGACTTCATTGGTAGGGAAATTTCTAGAAACAATTAACCGGGATGAAATTAGCAGTCACATGCAAAAAGGTGGTTTGATCAGGAATAATTAGCATGGAATTTGAAATGAAAATCATGTTTAACTAACTTTTTTTTAAACTGGTAACGGAAAGGCTTGATGAGAGTCACGCTGTTGATGTGATGTACATGAATTTTCAGACGGCATTTGATACAGTCCCATACAACAGACTTGAGGAATGTTACAGATCATGGTATAAAAGATATCAAGAGAAATGTGGATACAAAATTAGCTCAGCAACAGGAAACAGAGTAACATGCAATGGATATTTTTCATACTGGAAGGCGGCTTCATAGTTGCATTCTCCACAGACCGGTATTAGGAACTTTGCTTTTCCCAATATGTGTTAATCATTTGGATTTTGGTGTACAGGAGACAATTTCTAAGTTGGCAGAAGGCACTGAACTTCGAAGTATTGTAAACCAAGAGAACGACAGTGTGGAACTCCAAAGGGCCACAGACAAGTTGGAGTGGAAGGTCAGGTGGCATATGCTATTCAATGCAGGGAAGTAGGAGATGATAAATTTTAGTAGGAACAGCATTGAAAGGTAATACCAATAAAGGGGGTGGTGCAGGAGCACAGGAATGTGGGAGCACATACGGAAGTGGCAGCACAGTTGGAAGAAAGAAATAAAGCATAAAAGATTCTTCAGTTTTATTGTTCGGAGCATAGAGTAAAAGAGCAAGGGAGTGAGCTTGAATTTGTTAGAACTCAGCTGGAGTATTGTGTACTGAGAACAGGTCACTGGACCCAAAACGTTAATTCTGATTTCTGTTCACAGATGCTGCCAGACCTGCTGAGCTTTTCCAGCAATGTGTCTTTTTGGTACTGTATACAGTTCCCCATACCAGATTCTAGAAAGGATGTCAGCACATTGATGTGTGTGCAGTCACGATTTACAAAAATGGTTCTAGGGATGTGGAACTGCGGTTAAGAAGATGTATTGAAGAAGTCAGGACTGGTCTCTTTGGGCAGAAGGGTGCTAAGGGGGGGATCTGATCAAGACTTTCAAAATCGTTAATGGGCTAGAGAGAGTAGATAGGGATAAACTGTTCCCAATTATAGAAAGGAACATGAACAAAAGGGCATAGATTTAAAGGTGATTGGCAAAAGAAGTAAGGGTAGTGGGGGGGAAAAAAACTTTTCCACTTAGTAGTTAGGGTCTGGAATGCACTGCCTAGCAGTACAGTGGAGGTTGGTTCAACTGAGGCAGTCATGAGGACATTCATGATTATTTGGATAAAAATAACATGCAAGGGTTTGGGAAAAAGCAGGAGATTGGAATCAGGTAAATGATGCTCACTTAATTGACCCAATGGGCCAAATGGTCTCCTTCTGCACCATAACACTTGATATTATTTGAATCCTCTACAGTGAGGACATAGAAAATAGCCTTTCATTTAATTTAACATTTTCTACTTTCCATTATTCTTCCCCCAGAGGAACAATACTCAGTTTCCATTCCCTTTTCATTTTAAATTTGTAGAGTATATTAACATGTATTTAATATTTCTGGTAACCTTTTGTTACATTCTAATTTCTCCCTCCTTAGTATTCCATTAGTATTTCTTTGCTGTTCCTTATAATCAATCTTCTAACCTGTCGTTCACCTTTGCAGAACCGTACATTTCCTCTTTGAAACTGTCTTTAATTCTCTTAGGCAGGAATAGAGCGCTATTCCCTCGGGTCTTTTTTTCTCACTAGAATGCATTTTTTGAAACAGCAACTAAATGTTTGCCACTGCATCTCTGCTAACCCATCCATTAACAGAACTGTCCAGTTTTCCTCAGTCCGCTCTGCCTTCGCATTTTCATAATTGCTCACATTAAAATTTAAAACAGAAGGCTTGAATTCACTCTTTCCTCCCTCAAAATAAATATAAAATTCCATCATATTCTGACCACTGTTACCTAGAGGTAAACTTCACACTTGCATTATGAAATTCATCTGCTATTTCACTAGTATCAGTCTTCTTATTCTTAAATACATTCCACACTTTGTCTTCAGTGAATTTCGAAATTATGCTCATAATTCATATCCAAGTCCATTAAAAAACGTTAAAACAAAAATAGGATAGCTCATTCCTTTCAAATTCTCGACTTCCATATGTTTGGGTGATACTCCAAAAACAAACAATATTTTACTGTAATTATAAGAAATTATAAATTATTCAACAACTCATCAACCCTACTTTAAAAGCTTCCTGATTAAAACCATTGCAGAAATACAATTTTGATACTTACCAGTTGCAGTTTTGTCACGGAATTCTTCGAGCTTCATCAAAGTAGCCGATGTTAGTTCTACCAGTTGTACATCTGTTGGAGGTCGAAAGAAGTCGACTAACCCATTTACAGTTCTCTGTTGGAATGAACGTATCGATAATGTAGTATCAAGTTGTCTAAATTTAAACACACAGCTTCATGTATAGGAATATGATAGCATTGTGCTACGACCCATACAGAAACACTTCAGAATTTTGCTGAAGTACTGTGGGTCTGCCCATTTAAATGGAGAGTATTTCTCATGGGTGAGACATCCCCAGTATTGGGTCTCATATTTCCATGAGGAAACCACGCTGCAGATCAAGGTGCAGGTCACTGATAAAACATTATGGAAGACTCAGCCAATTAAGTCTTCAAATGAGCAACAGGTAAGTACATCAAGGTGCAGGAGTGGCTGGAGGGGATGGAAAACGTAAAAAGAAAATGAAAATCTGAAACTGGAATGACACTAATGCTTGCTTTGGGGTGAGAGGACAAGCTCTTCTGCTTCAGCTAGTTCAACGGTCAGCTAAGTATTTCAAAAATGTAGGCTTCTATTTGCAAAAGTATATTTTGAGCAGCTGGTGCCTCACAGCAATCTATTTCTGCAGCAGAGGTCTCAAAACAGTTTTCTACCCTAATTTGTATATGATCTTCCAGAATTTTATCAATATAGGGCTGAATCTTCCCAGAAGTCAGCTAAGTGCCATTTTCATCAAGTTTCATGCAGTATTTCTCTCTGGTGAGATCTCTCAAAGCTTCTCACACACAATGCCAAACCCACATCATTGAGGTGCTTTACCCTATGGCACCCTTCACCTCTAATATTAGTCTATTCTTCTGCCTTCGCCATCAGCGGAAGTATTCAGCACTGCTTAGCTAGTGGTGAGAAGGACACTACCTGTGAGATCCTTTTTGTATGCCTGGTTTGTCTGCGCCACCTCATGCTGCCCACAAAGCAGCTGCGGGCTGGGGTGGGGGGAGCATGGTAGAGACCGTCACATTTCTCCTTCTAAAATGTGCCTTTGCAAAGGAAGTCTACAGAAAGATGCAGTGGTTTTCGTCGAGGGTCGTCCCGAACAGCTCCATGATGCAGGACTCTGTGCTCCATGATCTGTTCCCCAGGATGCACTCCGAGACAAACATTGCCCGTGCTGAGAGGGCCCTCAACTCAGTGCAAGATGCTCTTTGGTCTGCCCAAAACTTGTGGGTCTTCAGAACAAGGAGTTGACCCCAACAAAATGTTGCAGACTGGTACATTCCAAGGTCCAGGACTACGTGCTGAGGGATACACTAAAACTTGGGGCAGCTGCTGCTAAAACGCAGTGGGTAAAGACCACTGTCTGAGATCTATCTGCCAAAGCTAAGTGGAGGTTCATTCAGTTATCAGACCTCACAGTGCCACAAATGCATGTAAACATAGTCTTGAATGTGTAAGAAATATCTTTGGTTTGTTGTATACAATTAAAGTCCAATGTTTTTATTTCCTTGATATGCTACTATACAGAACCGAACTGCATTTGTGACTGTAAACATATATAGTTTGAAGCTCAACGCAAGCTGGAAGAACACCTCATTTTCCACTTGGGGACTCTGCAGCCCTCCGGGCTCAATATGGAGTTCAATAATTTTAGGGCATATAAACTGATGTTTTCCCAACCACCATCAGTTCTGAGGAAGGGTCACTGGACCCGAAATGTTAACTCTGCTTTTACCTTCACAGATGCTGCCAGACTTGCCGAGCTTTTCCAGCAACTTTGTTTTTGTTCCTGGGTATATACATACATACTTATGAATACAGTTTTGAAATTTTTTTATATGAGAAAATAAAAGAGATTCTCCCAGAATTCTACCGAATGTTGCAGACTGTCACAATGCAAGGTACAGGACCACATACTGAGGGACACACTATAGCTTGGGGCAGCTGCTGCCAAGTCGCAGTGGGGAAAAGACCATTGTCTGAACGGACTCCCATTTAACTTCAGCAGGAAGACTTCAGTTACTGGACCCTCAAGGTGCCTAAAATATACATCAATATAGTCTGATTCAAGTAGGAGATGCCTTTGGTTTATTTGGAGATAGTCAAAATCCAATGTTTATTTGTTTACTTGACATGTTACCATAGAGAATTGAACTGTATTTGTGGCTATGTATATATAAAGATATTTTTAATGAATAAATTATGTTTTTGAAATAAAAAAAAAATCCTGGATTCTTACTCCAGCATTATCTTTAAAAAGGCCATTGTGTACTTATTCAACAACGGAGCTGCCGTGCACAGTTTCTGGCATTTGTCCTGGACTACGGAGATAAGTTGAAGTTGGCACGCAGCTTGGCAGACAGGGACCTGGAGGATAGGACAGTGCCGCCAAGCCCTAACCTCTTCGTCTATGACAATCAGACAAGGCCACATCATCAGGTCCTACCAACTAGGTCAGAGGTTGCCGCTCAGTTTAGTGCAGTCTCTTCCTATGCTGCTAAATGCTCTTTGAAAGCCAAAGATCTTTTCTACACTGCCAGGTTAAGTGTCACCATCTTCACCCCAATACCTCTGACTCATTCTATCTCTGCCACTGCACCCACCTCCCATCGAGGCTTATATATTCTACTACTCCACTATTGCATGTGGCATCTTCCTTCACTGACTCATAGACCTCAATCCCCCCTACCACTGACTGTGCATGCCCTCTTCACAGTTTACTCATTCACTCAGGTGATATCTTGTTTGGCCTACCCAAGTGCAAAGGAATACATCAACAGTAGGAACTTGGGAAGTATGGAGGAGAGAGATCTTGGTGTGCTCATCCACTGATCACTTAAGATAGCAGGGCAGCTAAATAAAAGTGGTTAAGAAGCATAACATACTTGCCTTTATTAGCCAAGGCACAGAGTTGAAGAGCAGGGAGGTTATGCCTAAACTGTATAAGACGTTGGTTAGGCCACAGCTAGAATATTATGTTCAATTCTGGAATCCACATTATTGGATGGATGTTATTGCACTGGAGAGGATGCAGAGAGGTTTTACCAGGATACTGACAAGGTTGGAAAGGTTCAGTTATGAAGAAAGATTGGATAGACTGGAGTTGTTTGCATTGGAATAGAGGAGAAGGAGGGTAAACCTGAATGAGATGTTTGAAATTAAGAAGCATAGACAGGGCAAACAAGGAGGAACATTTCCCCTTGGTTAAAGGTATAAATGATAGGGACATAGATTTAAGGTAAGGGGCAGGAGGTTTAGAGAGGATGTGAGAAATTTCTGTTTCATTCAAAGGGGACTGGGAATCTGAAGTTCATTACCTGTAAGGGCAACAGAAGAAGTGAACCTCATAGCATTTAAGTAGTATTCAAATGCATACATACAATGCCAAGGCATACTAGGCCACAGGCCAAGTACTGGACAGGAGCCTTGAACGTTGCTGAACATCTTATAATCAGTGAACATCGGCACATCTGACCTTTTGATGAAAGGAAGGTCACTGAAGACGTAGTAACTGAAGAGGACAGCATGATGGCTCAGTGGTTAGCATTACTGCCTCACAGCACCAAGGACCTGGGTTCAATTCCAGCCTCGGGCAACAGACTGTGTGGAGTTTGCATATGCTTCCCACGTCTGCTTGGGTTTCCTCCCACAATCCAACAATGCGCAGGTTAGACGGACTGGCCATGCTAAATTGCCCATTACAGTCCAGGGACGTGCAGACTAGGTGGATTAGCCATGGGAAGGCAGTCTGGGTGGGATGCTCTTCAGATGGTCAGTATGGACTTGATGGGCTGAATGGCCTGCTTCCACAGCGTGGGGATTCTATGATTCCGCTTAGCATATTACCCTAAGAAATTCCTGCAATGACACCCTGGAATCGAGACAATTGTCCAAGATTTGTGCATTGGTCCTCATTAAAGAGGATGCTGCTGCCTGTGTAGCAATAGAATAGGGAGTTGATAAAAAGAGATAGAGACAACTTAAAAGCTGGCAGGGGTGAAAACAATCAACCGTCTGGTGTGGATGTAATGTATCAGATATTACCCAGGGATGTCAAGGTAGAAATTGCGGAGTATTAGTACTGAGTAACATTGGTATGAATGGGATAACAATAATCCAACACAATAATCTGGCCTTTAACAAAGTATGACTCAAATTATAGTTTGGATGGGTAACTTCAACGCAAATGATATTTGATTAACTTACTAGCATTGACAAATAAGTAAAGATTCCTTACTCCATCTAATCTATTCCTTCCAAAAGTGATACATTGTGTATCACAGTACTTTCCACCCCACCCAAAATATTTCATTACCTGGGAGAACAATCAATAAAAGTGAAAAATACTCCCAGTAATTTGGGACATAAAACCATCCTGGAGAATTCCTCTCCAACCCACCTACACAATAAGGACTAACAAGAAAATTACTTCGGCCCTGAAATGTTTATATTTTGAGAGTGATGACTCCATAACCATGAACAGCTTCAACTCGTTTGAAGGAATTCAGCAAAATCTGCAAAGCACCCATTCAAGGTCCACTGTTCTCTATTAATAGAACCACCTCCCGAATTTATTCTAAAATTCTTCTATGCTCTCACCTCTCCATATCCCTAAATCGCCACCAGCACTACTACTTTGAGATCTCTCTTCCATTTCTGGCCTCTTCAGCATCTCTGATTTTCATTGGCAGCTGTGTCCCCAACTTCTGGGATCTCTCTCCATATCTGATTCACTTCCTTTCTTTCATTCTTTAAGACACTCAATTTATCTCTTCATTCAGGCACTTGTTGAGTTGCTCTAATGTCTCTGTATGTGGCTTTGTTATATTTTGTTCAACAATCTTAGGACCCCATTAAAGGCAAAATATAACTATAAAGTGAATTTGTTCTTGTTGGAGAAGCAGAGACTGTTCTCCCTGGAGCAGAGAGGGATTGAGAAGATTTTGACAGAGTCATTAAGAACGTGGGCATCATTGACATGGCCAGCAATTATTGCCCAGTCTCAACAGCCTTTAAGAAGGCGGCTATGAACTGTTACCTTGAACGCAACCGGCTTGCTAAATCACTTCAGAGGGCATTTAAAAATTAAACATATTGCTGTGGCCCTTAAATCAGACACAGCTCAGACTCTGAAAAGACAGGTGTTTTTGTTTTCTGAAGGTCATGAATGAAACAGACTGGTTTTTATGCCAGTTTTATGATCACCATTACGGATCATAGTTATTTCGTATTTTGATATAGAAAATAAAGTGACACAATTTCAAGTGACAGAAAGGTCAGCAATTAATCAACACAAATTTAAGATTTATGGTAAAAAAAAAATACCCAGAGGGATGGGACACAAACTTGGTTTTTAAATGGGTCAGTCATTGTGATCTGGAATGCACTGACAAAAGGAGAGCAGAATTTAACAGTAAAACTTGAAAATGGTATTGGATAATTTCTTAATGGTTTAAAAGAAAAACAAAAAAGGTCATCGTGGAAAAAACAGAGAAGTCAGACTGAGTAGACTGCGCTACCAAAGAGCTGATTCAGGCACAACAAACTGAATGGTCTCCCTCTGTGCATTTTTCAATGCATGCTCTCTCAAAACACTGGATAAAAACTAGTTAAAATAGCTTAAATATGACTTTTTAATTATAACTTTAAAATGCATTGAACAAATGTGCATTTCACTCACCGCATCATATACAATTTCTAGTGGACGTGACTCCGCCTTCAGCCGCTGATCAGCTCTTTCATCCAACGGATTGGTCTCAAACATGATCCTGAGCAGAACTTCTTCATTCTCGGTCAAAGCACTCCTTGAAGAAAGCAGCAATGGCTTGTCTGTGTTCTGAGGCAGTCCTGTCACTTCCAATGTACTTATCTTTGCTTCAAATCTATATTAAAAAAGGAAATCCTCAAAGCTAACGTAATAGAGTTTGCACATTTGTACTAAAACCCTAAGCCATCAATTAAAAACAGATAATGCTGTAATACTCACAGGTTTGGCAGCATCTGTTGAGACAGAAACATTAATTTTCCAGGTAAAGGACATTTCTTCAGAAATAAAGGGGAGCGGGAGAAAGTAATGGATCAGATTTGAAGCAAGAGAAGGGGCCGGGCAAGGAACAACAGAAGTGGTGATAGGACAGGAGAGATTAACTGACAAGATGATTTCATGGTACTAAAGGCAAAGGGAATGATAATGTTGTCACAACGAACCAAAAGATTTGCTTAAAGTTGGTGTAAATAGGTAAGGGAAAAGTCACCATGGTCCCAGAGGACCATAAGGTTGCTCTTTTAATAGAGAAAGATTACGAGGGGTGAGTTTAATCCAAAGGTCACCCTGTCTTGGGCAAGGGGCAAAGTTGAGAAGGTGATCCTTTCACAGTGACCTGTATTATTAGTGTCAATCTGCACTGCAAAGCAGCCATCTAGCCAAGGAAATCACAGAATAATCAGGTCAAATCTTCTCAGTCACAGAATACCACTACAATAGTTGCCCAGGACAATTTTCTAGGCCTAGCCACCTTCAGCTGCTTCTATCACAATGCTCAAAAACATGTGCAACTCCTCAAGATACTGAAACAATCTATGTTCATATGGAGCAAGACCTATGGAAGCACAAACATTAAATAAGCGCAAGACAGTTTATAGATTTCTAGTCACTAATGGCATCAAGGATATGGAGATAGCTTAAGAATATGGCATTGAGGCAGCATCCTTCTATCCACAAAAAGCAGTGGACATCATTGCTTAATAACAAGTTACAACTGTGAAAAAATTCCAATGTGCCTAGGAGAAGAAATTTCCAGCTTTAAAGACTCTCTTGCTCTTTAAGAACTATTCACAGATAGTCAGTCAGCAACTGCAAATGCATGGAGAAACAAGCAGTCAGTCGGAGAGATTGAAAGTGCAGTAAGGGAGAAACAGAATGATAGGCTAAAGTTTTCAATGCAGGCAAGGTAAGAAGTACAGAAAAAAAAACACAGCATGAACCTGAATAACCACACCTGATAGTTAAATATTCCATGAGGAAATGAGAAACTGTAGGTAGTGTTTGTAATTGAGCTCCACGAGAGAAAAAAGTCACAAGGCTGTTAGGAAAGGGGAAAATATCTTGAAATTAATGACACAAGAAAATAGGTCAAGAATTCCATAAGTAAAAATGGAACATCTACACCTCATATTGAGCACTGCCACCACAGAAAGTGGATACCATGGATACAGTAAGGAAATCAGAGAAGTACTTTTAACCAAGGTTCCAGCACCAGGATCACCACAAAGCAGAATTAAGTCAACATAAGGGATAATTTTAAAGATTAAGCAGGCAGACACTTATAGAATAAAAGTTAGGAGACTTCTTGAGGCCATAAACAAGTAGAGATCCATAATTTAAATGCAGACCTAACAGAAAAATTTGTTATGGCCACAGTCTCAAGAATTCTTTTTCCAGTTGAGGTTCTAGACATGGACATGCTTTGACCATTAGATTATGAAAGGCAGGAAACCTCCATTTTGCCCACAAGAATAAGGGCCACCTCTCAGAATAAAGTATAGATATACAATAATACGTTTTCTAAAATCAGAAGTTTTAAAAAGGAAATAATGCAGTTTTCTGAGTTTGTTGGACCTGTACTCTTGCCAATTCAATTGTGAACAGCCCCACTGTTTTGCTAGAAATTTGCCCATGAGTAGCCCAGTCTACGTTTGGCCAGATCCTGCCTTAGTTTAATAAAAACTGCCTTCCACCAATCCAAAAGCCTTTTTTGTATACCATCCCTTTTCCTCTTCCATAACAAAATTCAAATATTTTGTGTTGTGTCTCTATTACTAAAGTGCTCACCCACTATCACCTCCAACACCTGTCTAATTTTGTCCCCCAGAATTAGGTCCAGCATGCACCATCCTTTATTGGATTTCCTACACGTTGATATAAAAAAGCTCTCCTGAACACATTCAAAGGAATCTGTCCACTCGAAGCCCTTTACACTATGAGAATCCCGACTAATGTTGGGGGAAGTTGAAGTCCTCCAGAATAATTACCGAGATTGTTTTCACACACTTCATTTAATCATGTACATATCTGCTCCTCTACTGCCCGTTAATTGTTTGTGGTCCGTAAAACACTTCCAGCAGTGTGGAGTACCCCCGTTTTACTCCCAAGCCATACCCATAAAACTTGATCTGAAGACCCTTCAATGATATTTTCCCTCCTTACTGCACTAACTGACTTCTTAATTAATCATACAAGACCACCCCTCTTTTATAGCCTCTCCTGTCCCGCCTGAATATCCTGCACACCAGAATTTTGAGTTGCCAGAACTGCCTCTCCGTCCACCATGTCTTGTGACGGCAACAACATCGCAATTCCACTTGTCAATCCATGCTCTTGCCCATTATGTCCCTCACATTAGAGACCATCCAGCCTAACCTTACTCCCTTGAAGCTCAATATGGCTGAAACCACTCTGCCATTGGTTTCTATTGCTAAAGTATGTTCTGTTCCTATTAAAGTGACATTGTTTTCCCCTTCTGCCCCTGCAAAACTGGTTTAAATTCCTCCTAACAGCACTAAAACACATATGCAAGGATTTTCGTCCCATTCTGGTTCAGTGTAGACCGTCCGAAGAAATGGTCCCAGTGATCACAGAATCTTACTCCTGCCCCCTTGCACCAACTCTTGAGCCACGTACTCATTTGTCCTATTCTCTTATTTCTGAACTCAATAGCATATGGTATCTGGAGTTATCCAGAGATTATAACCTTTGTGGTCCTGCTCTTTAGTCTACTGCCCAGCTCCCAAAATTCTTGATGCAAGGCCTCATTCCTTACTGTACCTATGTGGTTGGCACCAATCTGTATCACAACCACTGACTTATCACCCTCGCACTTCAGGATGCCCTGCAGCTGCTCAGCAACATCCCCGACCCTGGCACCAAGGAGGAAACACACCATCCAGGAGCCACATCTATGATAACAGAAACACCTGTTCCCTAAATAACGAACCACCTATGACTATCGCTCCGGCTTTCTTCTTCCTCCCCTCCTGTACAGTCTGATCCTCCCTTCCTTGACATTGATTTCCATTTCAGGGAATAGGCTGGCCACCCTTACACTCCCACTGCCCTGAGAGGTCACCTGCCCTACCTGACCAATTCTCTTGGTCTGCCTGGTGGTCACCAATTTCCTGGACCTGCATTGTAACCACCTTTCTAAACATGTTATCCATGAAACTCTTAGTCGCTCAGGCTAAAAGTGCATGCTTAGAACCTGTTACAGAGTGGAGATTGAACCCCTCTGATAATTAAAACCGAAACACCCAGAGAAGCTCGCCTCACCTCAATTTGCTAAAGGAAATGGGAAAAATGGTATAAACTGCCTTTCATCTCCCAATCTGTTATAAAGGAGGTTCAATGGAATGAAATTCTTTCACTCACTCTATAACCAACAAGTAACAATTTATTTATTCAACTTGAACAATGAACAAATTAACAGAACTGATAACAAACCAAAACAATATCCTCTTACTTACTAACTAATCCAAACTAAAAATTCTAATGGCATGCTGTTCCAATAAAAGTCCCACTTATATAAACAAAAGTAATAAGAAAAATAAATTAAAACTTAGACTCTCAAAACTTCAGTCAGGGATTATTTCTTCGTTGAATCCTTGCGTCAGGAATATTAGCTAAGAATGCGTCGTACCTTTTAAATCAGAAAGCTTGAAGATTGCTGAGAGCCGGAGTTTTAATCTTGCAATGACAGTCTGCTCTCACTGCTTTTCAGAAATTCTCTTCTTATATACCCTTGATGACCAGTCAATTTTCATATAATCGGATTGGTGCTAGGTTGTCCACACCATCAGATTTAAATTTGACTGGGTTTTGTTATCTGGGGCCTGGTTTAAATTAATTGGCTGATATTCAAGCTGGTTGCCTTAACAACAAAACAAGCCTAAGTTGCCAACCACACAGCCAATTGATACATATGCTTCAATTTCAGAACTATCTGTGCATCTGCAGCTGCTTGCAGTCTGTTTTTTTTTTAAATTTTCAAGCTTAGAAAAGCACATCACCTCTTAAAAGGTCACACACTCTTTCCCCTCTATTATTTTTACAAACAAGTTCTAACATCCTACCTTTTAATTCACAAGGACTCTACCCAACTTTGCAACAAACCCTGGGGACAGGTATAGCTGGGCATATTTCAGATTAGAGATGAGTTGAAGGTGGCATTCCCCAGGGATCGGTATTGGGACCCTTTTTCTGATCTATAGAAATGATTTGGGGATGGATTTTGAGAGCAAAATCTCTAAATTTGCAGCTGATACTAAGCTAGGGAGAATAATGAGTTGTAAGGATGATGGTGAGCAACTTCAGTTGGCTAAATGGGCAGCCACCTTGCAGATGAAATTCAATGAAAAGAAATGAGGTAATGCATTTTGGTAGAAGAAACACAGAAAGACAATACAGGCTCAATGGTACAACTTTGAGGGGAGTACAGGAGCAGAGGGACCTCAAAGGTTCATGTGCATGATTCTCTGAAACTGGGCAAATTGAAACAGTTAAGGCGGCTTATAGGACTCTTGGGTTTATAAATGGAGGCATCCAGTTTAAAAAGCAAGGAAGTAGTGCTACACTTCTACAAATCATTGGTCAGACCATATTTGCAGTATTGTGTTCAGTTCTGGGTACCTTATTTAAAGGAAGGATGTTAAATTCCTGGAGAGAATTAAGGAGATTTACCAAAATAATGCCTGGGAAGATTACAGAGATTGGGCTTATTCTCCTTGGAGCAGAGCAGATTAAGAGGTGGCCATATTGAGGTTCTCAAAATTATGAACAATTTTGGCAGGATATCCTATTTTCACTAGTTAGTATGTCAGTAACTAGCGGTCACAACTTCAACATTGTCAGCAAGAGAGCTAGAAGTGAGAGGAGGAAAAACTTACTCAGAACTGTTAGAATTGGAAATGCACTGCCTGGAGGAATGGTAGAGGCAGATTCCATAGGTGGTTTCAAAAGAGAGCTGGATATATATTTCGAAGGGATGAAGTTAGAGGACTACGAAGATGGGGCTAAAGAGTGGGACTAGCTGGGTAGTTCTTTTGGGAGCTGGCACAGACAGAATGGGTAGAATGGCCTCCTTCTGCACTATAAATCCAATGATTCTATGATTCTTCCCTGGTTATGATCAGCAATCTTTGTGTGCCTAATAGTTTTTCTCTTCTCTTCCCCTACAGCAGAAAAATTAAGTGGCTCAGTTGGCATCATTTTGGCACAAACTCTTCTTCTCTCAAAACTTGAGGCTGCTCCCAGCATTCCTCTTTGCAGCTTTGCCCTGTGCCTCACTGCAGCATGATGCCCAATGCAGCCATCGCCTGCCCCCAGGCACACCACAGCCCGACAGGATCTTTTCCACTCTCCCAACAGGCCACCACCCCCTCCAGAAAACACTGGCCATGCAGCTATCCATCTCAGGGGAACCATGTGTGAGCTCAGCAGCTCCCTGTCTTCCCCTGACCTTTGGAATGCTGATGACTTTGAAGCGTGGCAGCACACCCATCACCCCTGAGGCAATGGCCAAAATAGTGGAGCCCACATAGCAGGGTGCAGCCCACAGCTGCTAGAAGAATGCATGAACCGCATCTGGGCATGGAGCCAGCACAAACAGCAGCACTACCAAGCAGTAGCCCAGGCAGATGCTAGACACAGCAGCAGACAGTTCCATGCTCTAGAAACAGAGCAGTGACACAATGTGGCGAAGAACAAGCAACAAGCAACAAGCAACAACCATGAGGTCCACGGTCCAATGGACAAAGTACCCCAAAAACTGTGTATCGGGGCAACGGCCTCTTAATTGTCATACTTCACTGAGGTAGTGTGCTGGAAGTTAAGCCTTGCCGTTTCCAAGAGGTGCTTCAAAAGATAAAGACGTCAAAATGCACAAAATTTCCAAATTTAACTTTCAATTTAGACCAAGTTGACAGAAGTCTGTATTGACCGAGACTTACTATAAATTACAAATAAATACAGAATCTACCTCCAGGTAGACAATTATGAACAGTCAATATTTAACACTAATAGATAAAGCTCTAACCCCCTGAAACTTCCAATGTACACATACATACAGACAGACAAGTAGAAGATGTACAACTTGCTCAAAAAGGCAGCAAACCAGTCAAGATAAACTGCATTTTGCAAAGACTATTCAAAGAGAATCTAGTTCAGAAAACAACTTGTCTAAGAACAAATTGTTGTCAGCCAAATGGTCAAAGGGCAGTGGGTATATGAGTTTCTTGGGTTTCCTCAACTCATGGCAGAACCCAACAAGAAAATCTAATGGCATTACCTATGGTACAAGTGAAAATTATTGACCTGGACTCCCTGTGACTTCAATCCCACAGCAATGTGGCTGCCACTTAACTACCCTCTGGGCAATTAGGGATAGGCAATGAATTGCCTAGCCGGCGCTGCCCTCGGCCCATGCATGAATAAAGAAAAATATATATTCAACAAAAACAAAATCTGCAACAGCGTAGGGTTTGGAAATGTTTTCCGTTCTTATCATCATTAAAGAACCTTCAGATGACAGCATTAATGGCAAGAAGAAGCAAATACTGACAAGAATGAGCAGCACAATGCACTTTATTTCACTGCAGAATCTAACTGAAGTCATGCCGACAGCAAAACTATCTGCAGAACAAGCACGTTGGACTTTAAGGATAAAGAACTGCTTGGGAGGAGATGGGATAGAAGCATGTGTAATCATGTACATGCACGTATAAATGTAAACTATGGGGGAGGGTGGGGGGAGGGAAGAAGCTTTGGAGAGAGATGATAGGACCATTAAGTTAGGAGCTAGCAAGAGGCCATTCAGCCCATCACATTTACTCTATGTGGATAAAGCTGCTGCCAACTCTCAGCTTTCTTACCAGTACATTATCCATAGCCTTGGATGTGCACCTGAAGCAAGTTAATTTGCAAGTTCCTTTTAAATGAGTTGAGTTGAGCATTTTTGTCTCACCATCAAACCATAGCAACAAATTCCAGACACTCCCCACTTCTCTGGGTGAAATATGTTTTCCTTACGAACTCTTAAATCCTTCTACTAATCACCTTGTATCTGTGACCGCCGATATCTGAAATCTTGTATCAGGTAATTGTGAAAGAGTTAATGTTGGAGACTGCATTAAGCTCCAACCAATCTGATGTCAAAGTCATTGGGCAGGAAATCGGGAGAACGGGTCTGGATCTTGAAGTGGTCAAACACTACATCCATGTCGCCCAGCAGTCTTCATAACAACGTCTTACTAGCTGATGTAACTTGCACCTGATTGCTATCATGTAGAAAACCACATCTTGTGAAGGCAAGAGCCTCTTCATGTTGAAGACTCAATATTGTTCATCTACCACTGTAAACCAAATTGTCCAAACACTATAGCTAAAAGAGCAGGTTAAAATTTGGAAGTTCTGTGGTAATTCATCTCCTGATTCCTGAAAGCCTGTCCACCATCTACCAAACAATTCAGCAAAGTGACAGAAAACTCTCCACTTGCCTGGGTGGGAGAAACTCCAATAACACTCAAGCAGATTGACATCATTCAGAACATAGCAGCCCAATGATCAGCACCTTACCTATTAATTCATTGACTCCTCGCATCAAAAATACTGTGGCAGTGTTTTGTTTTTTTTCACACGCAAGGTGCGCTACATCAACCTCGCAAGCCTCCTTTGACAAGCCTGTCACCTCTACCACCTAAAGCATAGGCACATGCAATACTATGAGCAGCAAGTTCCCTCACAAGCCATACAACATCCTCTCTGCCGTGCCTTCATGGTCAAGGAGTCAAAAACCAAGAACTACCTTCAGAACAACATGTGGGTGCATCTGGAAGTCAGAAACTCCAGTGGTTTGGATGGTTCATTATCATCTTCAAGGCAAATAGGGATGGGCAATAAATGCTGGCCTTGCCAACGACGCACACATATGACAAACAAACAAAAGTTGCTGTTCAGCAGGAGTCAGGCTTATGGAACAAGAACTGGGTTTCAGAGTTTCACTGAAGAGTTCATTGAAGAGATGAGGTGGGAACGGGGCAACTAACAGATAACAGTTTCAGAGAAAATGAAGCAGAGGACAACAGGGAGATGTGCACAAAATCAAAACAATCAATTGTTAGATAATTGCTACTTAGAGACATAGAAGAAATTCTGAAAGAAGGACACAGTGAGTTCACAGACAAATCTGTAAACAGGCACATGGTTTTAATTCCAACTATGAGGAGTTTGGGAGGTAACAAGGGTAATGTTAAAGGAGCAACAGATGAATGGGAGTTTGCCTGTTACATGGAATTTCTGGTTAATCAATGGAAGAGTTTAGGAGATCGGCAACTTGAGCATTGTCAAAGATTCCCACAATCTCCCTTGTGAATAACAAGATAAAATTCCTAAAAGAGTTAATTGTATACATAGTTACCAAAAAGAATAGGCTGTTAAATTTAACTTGCATTCTTCTACATGTTCATTGCAATCACTATTTCAGTCATAGCCCTGGGAGAAAAGTAATATCATTTACTTTAATTAGGGATCCATAGATATGTTATAAGTCATAAAAACGTACTTTATTGCTTGTGCTCCTGGTCTCTGGGTTAGCATCATGCTCAAGTCAATCACAGCAAATTTCATGATCTCTGGCTGGTCGTCTTCTTCTCGAATGGAAACGGACATGCTAACAAGCTTCACAGCAAGTTTTACTGCTTCATACTATGCAATAAGATCGAGAACAACAGTTAGTATTTACTGTACAATGTAAATAAACGTTACATTCAATTTCAGAGTCAGCAACAATAACAATGACCAGTTCAGGCAATGCTAGCATTTATGGCCCATTCCCAATAGTTCTGGTGAAGTTAGTGGTGAACTACCTTTCAACCACCGCAATCTATGAGGTGGGGTGTAGTGACACCCATAATGCTATTGAGAAGGAAGTTCTAAGACTTGGACCCATTAACAAATAAGAAATGGCGATATAGTTCCACGTCAGGATAGTGACTGGTCTGAAAGCCAACTTGCAGTTGATGGTGATCCCATTCATCTGCTGCCCTTATCCTTCTAGATAGTTATAGTGCTGCTTTCCTCAATCCAGTGACCGAGAAGCAAAGCTACCTCGACCCCTCTGCACCTACCACTTCACTGCTCCTTGTTGATCACTAATCACTGTTTGAAACAAAGAAAACTCAAAACATAAAGACTAATTACTAGATGACACATGATAGCAGGCCACAGAAACAGGCAAAAAAAGCAGAACAACCCTTGCAGCCAGAATGCTGGACAAGTACTACGTTGACTACTGAGTAAAACCACGGTTGTTGAGAAATCGCATACTAACGTAATAGAAAAAAGTTTCACTTTTCAATGGTTTATCAAGACAGCGGGCTTCACAATTTGATCTGAATTGGCATGGAAATCAATTAATTGCTGAGGAGCATCAAGAAACAACTCATGGTGCTTCAATTAGATCTCTGCAACGTACATTAGTTTCCACTTACACACAAGAATGCATCGGATGTGGTCAAAGAAGTATTCTTCAAATGATCTCAGAGACAGGGGATCTGAGAAATAACACACCAGGGCAAATACATTATCCTTGGTGACTCAATGCCAGTGTTGGTACAGACTGTAATACATGGACCATAGTACTGGTACATCAAACTGGTCTGCTTTGCTGTCTGGGTGAGCTGTATAACTAGCATTTGCCCAAATCTGTGAACGGTGGGCATCATCCTGAGCCAGTCTTTGTGCAGGGTTCAGAATAAAAGTTGCTGATAGCATCCATTATCTGTCTCCAATGCAACATCCCCACCACCAGATTTTGATTGATGTTTCCTCTCAACCAGCAAATTGAGGCTATTTAAGTGGTTGAGGTTTGTGAAGAACCATTTGTCAAAGCGGCTGATAATGCATTAGTGCAAACGTTGGACACGCCTAATTTTTATGGTGTCCTTCTCTTAGATGAGTTACTAAACATGTTCCAGAATTCACTTTGCTTTCTACATTACCATCCAGTTCAATTGTGTTCTTCCATACTGATGCATAACAGAAGAACAAGGTCCTCCAAGTGCAACAAGTTTGACCTTACAATCATTTAAACAGTGTCAGCTTTGAAAATAACCTCAGACAGCACCTTAGATCAAAGTGCTGGTACATACTGTACTACATTATACCACAAGAGAGACCTCAAAAGAGATGTATTCAATACACCACCTAAGGTGGTTCAAAATGCTGGTGAGACCATCAAGTTTTCAGAAGTATCATCTCCTTGAAGATAACACATGAAATGTGTTGACAGAGTCAAGCCACAGAAGGATTTTATGGAAGTTATCCAAAAAAAAAAGGTGATCAACAGACAGGAACTGGAAATTTTAAAAAGCTATAACGTTTGCATAGACTATAAAAGGTAGCAGACACTAAAAAAGATTCTTGGCAAAATTGAAAGGATGTTACTTATAGCACAGAATCAGAGGTGCTTGGATTTGGAAACAGAAGCATCAAGTCTGGCTCCTCAAGAATGACTAAGACGTAGCCAAGCTAATAGATGCGCACAATGCTCATACATCCTACAGATAAGAAGAAGAAATTGCCAAGAAAAGCCAATAACACCAAGCATAAAACAGGATGCAGGGCAAACTAAGAGAAGGTAAGGCACCAATGACAGGGGAACATCACTGCGGGATTTCAGGAAACTGCTGAAAAGCATAATCCGAAGGTTCACCACAAAGATCTGTAAACCGCCCCAGAATTGATGAAACAGCACCAGTCCTCTCTGAAGGTAGCAATAAGCTCCATACATTCATGAGAATCTCTCATTCAGCAAAGCACTTGAACCATCTTCTGAAACAAGGATTCACAGTGGGTGAAAACGTCATTAAATCATTTTCACACCATCACATTCTGGATGATATGACCTTTGATCCAACTCAAGCTGACATCACCAAGGCAATAAAGCAACCATATAAAAGACTCTGGGATCTGACAACATTCCACCTTAAATATTCAAACACACAGGAGCTCACATTGAAGAAGAGAGGCTAGTGAGTTTCCTAACACTGCAAAATTAAAGAACATTAGGAGGAGGGGAGCTCTGCCTGAGGTGGTTATGCTTAAAATGCTGGAGATATACAGTGTTGAACGTGAAGTTTCTAACTATAAAACTGTTAGAGAAGATTTGAAGAGAAGGCCATGCCATAATAAAGTAGAAGGCTTTAGCAATCTGGATCTTTATAAATCTTCTGATCATTACTCAGACCAAGTGGTTATCTTCCAACTTTTGACTGTAATCCATTTTGAATTTATTTTGGTGGTGGCTGGCTGGTGGGGGCTGGTGGGGGCTGGTGTTGGTGGAGGAAGAATACAATGGTGTTGAGTTTAGTAATTGTGTTCCTTATACTTTCAAGGGAATTTAAAATAATTGACTATTCTTGGGTTTAAAAAAACCTTTTGATTTTAAAAAAAAAGGTGAATCTTGTGTGTTTTTTTTAGAAAGAGTTAACATCTGGTTTTTGGATCATGACAAAATAAGCAAGAAAATGTTATTTGTCCTTCCTTGGGACCAAACATGGAAATCCTCAATAATACTGATGTTAAGCTCCCACAGGACAAACAGGTATGACACAACATCAATACATTCTCCAATATGGACTTCGCAGGCAAGATCTGTAGATCCAACTGCTAGTAATGATTTGGTTTAAAATCATATAAGATGACATCAACCAACTCAATGCACAACTTAATGCTTGTTGTTTAGAACAAGTGTTGAGCAAAGAATTCATTATCGTGATGCTGAATCCTAGGATTCAGTAGTTTCCAGTGATGCTTCCCCATATGCCTGCAAATTCAAACAGGGGGCCAGCACCTACTCAAGTTTCAGCCACAAGAAGTAGATCTACAGATGTATTTATATGAGATTTAATCCTGAAGGAGAATTCTTTGTAGGAGCTTAGTTGTCACTCAAAAATAGGAGGAGATTTGGCACATTACTGGCAATACCAATTGTGATTTCTTATTCAACATTGCTTTGAACCCCAGGATTTGGGCAGGTACTTGTTCTTTAGATGCTTCTAGAATTAGACTTCTCGTGAATAAGACTTCAGTTCTTTTCCTGATGCAAACCAGATTATGCATGTGAACAAGCTACTGAAGGAATGAGCCCAAAAAAGATACACCTTTTACTGAACAAGATGGAAAGAGGAAGAAAGAAATGATAATCTTGTTTTTCTTTCTTTCCTGTTAGCAACACCATGGGAGATCAATTATTCACACCACAAAAATTTTAGTGAAATAATCATCAAGCAAAAACAAGGCACATCAACTCTCCTGAAAGGTTACATTTCCAATGGTTATGGAATAAAATACAGCAATCATTTAAACACCGGCATCTACGGGAGCTGGAGCGTATTGGTTCATCAAATATTCTGGCTGATCAAGATGTCCGCATAATTAATGTAAAAACACACACTTAAGTAATAGAAATGTAATACAGTGGGTACACACATCACAGTTATACTTCATTTACAGCATGAATGAAATTACAATGCAACTTTGCCTTAAATAAAAATTACCAGCAGAGAGCCTTCTCACTCACACCCTCAACTGACTATTCGGACATCACAGAGATCGTCATAATACAGTAAACCTCCAAAATTTCATGTACATAATTTTTGACGATTTATCAAGAGTGCCAGTTCAAAAGGCGCCAGTTAAAACAAAGTATTAGTTTCATTTACTGTACTGTACCAAATAATGGTGCAGGAACAAGTTGAACAAGTAATTTTATAAAACCTACTCTTTTAGGCATTGTTGGATCCACCACAGTTTCACTATATCCAATTGCTGCATAGAGTTTAGCTTTTTCTTCAGGTGTCATCAATAAATCAATTCCTAAAAAACATTTCCAAGAAATTAGGAAAAGTAGCTTTCTACATTTTAATTAGAAAACGGTTTCAGACCAAAATGAATAAATAGTTTAACTGACTTGTCAGTTCTTTTACCACACTACAGACCAAAATTCTAAAAGTATAAAATCGCCCCATTGACTCAAGCCAATCATACAGTTGTAGAAATTGTCAGGTTCAATACAGTGTTCCTTTTCAAATAGCAGAAAGATTACTTTAGCACTCAATGTGGAAGTTGGAACAGAAGCTTACTTTAAAATCTTGGCTAATGATTCTAGCTTAGCAAGTCTGTTCTTATTTTTTAAAAAGTTGCTTTCTTTTCATTCCAGTGGGGCTAGCCCGATTGTGGTTCTGTATCGGAGATAAGAACTGCAGATGCTGGAGTCAGGGAAAACACAGCGTGAAGCTGGAGAAACACAGCAAGCCAGGCAGCATCAGAAGAGCAGGAAAGGTGATTTTTCAAGCCAGGACCCTTCTTTAGAAGAAAGCCCTTCTGAAGAAGGGACCCGACCCCAAACGTCAACTTTCCTGCTCCTCTAATGTTGTTTGGTCTACTGTGTTTCTCCAGCTCCACACTGTATTGTCTGTGGTTCTGTATGAAAGCTCTTAAAGGAATCGCTGAAAAGGTTAGCAAAAAGTATCTGAGAGACAATTCCAGCTTTTCCACTAACTGGACAGAAAACACAAAATTACTAAGTAAAAAGAAACAAATTAATATTTCAGGCAATCATCCTGGCTTATATTGGGACATACAAGGTTCTCCCGTCCCCTCTTTCCCACTTCAATTATGACAACTTCATGAATGTCAAAGTGGGAAAATCCATCCCTATTAGTCAAATATTAGTAACATTTCAGTTGTCATGGGTCACTCTTCTGAAATTAGGTTCACTTATCAAGAAGCATTTGGATATTTAGGTAATGGCCAACAGATTAACTTCAGTTGGTTGTGCTCCAATCTAAGAGCTAGAAGGGCAGCACGGTGGCTCAGTGGTTAGCACTGCTGCCTCACACCACCAGGAACCCAGGTTCGATTGCAGCCTCTGGCAACTGTCTGAATGAGTTTGCACATTTTCCCCGGGTCTGCGTGGGTGCTCCAGTATCCTCCCACAGTCCAAAGATGTGTGGGTTAGGTGGATTGGCCATGCTAAATTGCCCATAGTGTCTAGTGTGGGAAATGCAAAGATAGGCAAGGGGTAGGTCTGGGTGGAATGCTCTTCAGAGGGTCGGTGGAGACTCGATGGCACAAATGGCTTGCTTCCACACTATAGGGATTCTATGATAAGTATCTTTGGATACACCAAAGGATCATTCGAAGATTCAGTTTTAAATCAATTTCAAGACTGCTCGTTTCAAAAACCCATTTCTGTCGTTAGTTTATTTTCCAAGGATTTCATGGGGTTTGGTAATGACAAGATCAGGAGAATAAATTCACTTTGACTCCTTTCCAACTTGCACTCACCACAGGACTGAGAGAATTGAAGCGAATCCTTGAAGGTAGCAGAATGGCAGCAAATAAAGTCAAAAGTCTGCATGTACGTTACTTAAAACTTGTATTCGTAAATAGTCCATCCCCAAAAATGGCTCAGAGAAGACCAGGAACAGAGAAAAGTCAGAGATAGACCATGTAAAGGGGAGAGGTATATATTGGAAACAAGATTTTCAGCTTATGTAAAAAATGATTCTTTTCAAATTCAAAACAAAAGCAGGAAGCAGCACAAACTCAACTAACCAACCAAAAACAAAAAAAAAAAAAGCTGTCAGTGAAGGAACGGAACAAAGACAGAAACGAAGCCTATTCCATACATCCTATATAAAAGGCAGATGCAGAGTTCAGATCTATATAGCTTTCTATAGAAAATATTTTGAAACAGTGGAGAAGTTGGTAGAAAGAAGAACATGTTCAGTCAAGCAAAGGAGCCTAATGGTGGATCAGGACTAGTCATGCCTTCATTGAAGAAGGCATGAGAGGGTCTGCAGTCATCCAATTGGAAAAGAAAGTTGCAGAGGGAGTGGAAGTCCGTGGTGAAAAGGAGAGAAGGCCAGAAGACTGAAACATTTAAGTGGCAGACCTTATCAAAAGAATCATACATGTACAGGGAAAGAGTTTGAAGGGAAATATCATTTTTGAGATTTATGCTGCAGGGAATAATTTCCTGCCACCTCAGATTCTAGGTTGTGGTGTTATGATTAGAAAAAAATTTAACATAAATCAGTTCAGTGACGGGGAAGCAAACAGACTTGCAAATGCAAACTGGTTTAAATGCGATCAAAAATATTGCAGCAAAAACTGAGATTGAGCAACTTACAGTTCTATCTGCAGAGATTCTGCAGATCTTAGTTCTTTGCCACTAAGGATGATTTTCAGACAAACTTTATTTTGTTCAAATGAGGAGTAAAGGAAAATATTTCATCTCTATCTTTCAAACATCATCTTCATCACTTCCTCTCACGTACAAGTATACACCTTGTAATATGTAATACAATGGTCATTAAGTAGTTCTTAAGTATCTCATCTAAGTCGCTGTTGTTCAGTGGGCAGTCATTGAGTCATACAGCACAGAAACAGACCCCTCAGTCCATGCCGACCATAATCCCAAACTAAATTAGTCCCAACTGCCTGCTGCTAGCCCATATTCCTCCAAACCTTTCCTATTCGGGTACTTATCCAAATGTCTTTTCAACACTGTAATTGTACCCACATCCACCACTTCCTCAGGAATTTCATTCCACACATGACCCACCCTCTATGTAAAACATTTGCCCCAAATGTCTTTTTTAAAATCTCTCTCCTCTCAACTTTAAAAAGGTGTCCCCTAGTCTTGAAATCCCCCATCCTAGGGAAAAGACAACTACCATGAACTCTATCTATACCGCTCATTATTTTATAAACCTCGATAAAGGTCACCTCTCAACCTTGCTCCAAATGAAAGAAGACCCAGCCTTTCTTTATCACTCAAACCTTCCAATTGTAGCAAAAACAAGGTAAATCTCTTCTGAACCCTCACCAGCTTAGAGGGCGAATGAACTATAGGGGCACTAGACTCAGATTTCTCACAAATGTACTATCACCATGAGCACAGGACAACAGTAGATGACCAGCCAATTTAAGTTTTCTTAATTCAAGAATAACTCGATGCCAATATCCCTTTTAAGTCAATCAGGACACAGTAAAGGATTATAGATCAGGATGAGTTGGGGAGGGAGGATAAAACAATGAAATCACAATCATAAGTGCTCCACTTCCAGTTTCAACAGTGAGGTGGAAAGTGGGTAATTTAAGGAGACCATATGCTGACATTTTAACTTTTGCAGCCTCTGAAAACACAGATGAAAAGGTGGAGAAAGGGGTTGGATCCATGAGTTATGTCCTTTCTTTTTTAAATTCAGTTATGGATGTGGGTGCCACTGCCCAGGCCAGTATTTATTAAGAAGCCCTTTTGGCCCTCTGAAAGGTGAACTATATCCTAAACTTCTGCAGTCCATGTGGTATGGGTACAACCATAATGCTGCAGGGGAAGGGAGCTTCATGATTTTGAATCAGCAACAGTGAAGGAACAATCATACAGTTCCAAGTCAGGATAGTGTTAAAGGATTATGGGATAGGAAGGTATTAAAAGAGGTAGGAGCCAAAATATGGAGGTAGGTCACAGATCCGCCATGATTTCCGTGAATGGTGGAATGGGCTCAAGGGTCTGAATGGCCTGCTCCTGTTCCTACATTCCTATTAATGCAGGCTCTTATATCAAAAGGGGTTGAAGAATAAGAGTAACTGTATCAAGGTGCTGGTGAGACTACATCTGGAATAATGTGAGCAGTTTAAGTTCCCTTATTTAAGGAAAGTTATTATTTCATTGGAGGCAGTTCAGAGTGAATTCACTAGGATAATCCACAGAATGGAAGGACTGTCTTCAAGCAAAAGCTAAGCAGGTTGGGACTCTACTGACTGGGAGTTTAGAAGGATGAGAGATTATCCCATTGAAACATATGGTATTCTTAAGGGGCTTGATAATGTAAATGCTGAGAGGATGATTCCCCTCATGGGAGGGTGAAGGACCAGAGGGCGTACTCTCAGAATAAAGGGCACCATTTAAGATTGAGATGAGAAGGAATCTCTTCAGGCAATTGAGTCTCTTTGGAACTCCTTGCCACAGAGAGCTATGGCGGTAGATACCTTGTGTATATAACAGAAAGCCGAGACAGATAGATTCTTGACCAATAGGGGAAATCAAGTGTTACAGGAAAAGGACAGGAAAGTGAACATGAGCAATGTCAGCTCAGCCTTGATCCTATTGAATGTCCCTTTTGGGCCTGCTCTGCCAAAATAGCCTATTTCTGTTTCTATTTCTTATGGTCTTACAGGGTACACCTTGGAAGAGAACTTGCCAGTAGTGGTGTGGCCATGCATCTGCTGCTCATTTAGTCCACGTGCTACAGGTCATAGGTTCAGAAGGCACTCTTGTAAGAAGCCTTGAGTTGTTGCATTCTATTCTGTCGATAGCACACACTGCTGCTGCTGTACATTGATGGTAGAAAGAGTGAAATGTTCCCAGTGTGGTCCAGGATGACCAGGAGCAGATTCAGTGGTCATGCACACTCGCTGCCCACCTCTCACTGCCCCAACAAGCTTATCAGAACATGTCCAACCAGATGTCCCAACACCATCCCAGATATTCCAGCTCTCGTGATGTCTGAGTCCATTTGCATCATTATTACCTCCAGCCCCACCTTCCTGGGAATCTTGGTGGCCATCACGTGCGAAATCAGCAAATAGGAATTTCATATACACTTAATGGTAAGGTCCTGGGGAGTGCTGCTGAATGAAGAGACCTCAAGTGCAGGTTCATAGTTCCTTGAAAGTAGAGTCACAAGCAGACAGGATAGTGAAGGTGGTGAATAGTATGCTTGCCTTCATTGGTCAGTGCACTGAGTACAGGAGTTGGGAGGTCATGTTGTGGCTGTACAGAACACTGGTTAGACTACTATTGGAATACTGCATTGAGTTCTCGTCTCCTTGCCTTAGGAAAGATGTTGTGAAACTTGAAAGGGTTCAGAAAAAGATTTACAAGGATGTTGCCAGGGTTGGACGGTTTGACCTACAGGGAGAGGCTGGATAGGCTGGGGCTATTTTCCCTGGAGCAGCAGAGGCTGAAGGGTGACCTTAGAGAAGTGTATAGAAGTGAGGGGAATAGATAAGGGTGAATAGCCAAGGTTTCCCTCCTACCCAGGGTAGCAGAGTCCAAATCTACAGGTCATTGGTTTAAAGTGAGAGGGGTAAGATTTAAAAAAGGGATCTGAGGAGGAACTTCTTCTAGGCAGAGGATGGTGCATGTATGGAATGAGCTGCCAGAGGAAGTGGCGGAGGCCGGTACAATTACAACATTTAAAAGGCATCTGCATGGGTGTGAATTGCAAGGGTTTAAGAGGGATATGGGCCAAGTGCTGGCAAATGGGACTAGATTAATTTAAGGTATCTGGTCAGCATGGACTGAAGGGTCTGCTTCCATGATGTACAGCTCTGTGACTCTATGACTCTGGCAGATTTCAAAAGGATGTACCCAACAGCAATTTCTATTTTTATTTTAGATTTACATATTTAATATCAGATTTGATAGACAATAAAACATTTTCCTCTACCAGATTTGGAATCTCGTGGTTTCTCTTCTTTTGCTCCTGCCCAACTCCAAGCCCAGTCAAACCATCCGCCAGTTTTCTCATCCTCAATTTTTGCACCTGGTCTGTAAATTTTATGCCCTGTTTTCATAACCTAGGAGAAAAAATTTAAAGAATACATCACCTTTAATTTCTAGGGTATCAAATTTGATATTTAAGCAGCTACATCAAAAAAAAATTTCATTGTTGGTGCGCCATATCAATTATTTAAATCAGTTTACAACACAAAATAAATATTTTGGTATATTCTATAAATTAAGTGATCAAAGAAAACAGGATAAAGAGAATTATGAAATAAATACTCTTGGCTAGCAAAGTCAGTTTGCATTTTAAAATCCTTCAAATACCTCTACTTCTGCTTGCTGTCTTGCGAGTGTAATGTTGAACAAATCAAGGTCCTTTTCGAGTTCCTGAAAAACAAATCACTGATGAAAATAAGTAGAACTCAAATTTGAAAATGTAACTGATGAAAGAGCTGGGGCAAAATGAGAATTGCTTTTTCAGCAAGTTACTGTTACTTGCAATGCACTACCTGAAAATATGATGGAAGACATCTCAACAATTACACTTGTGACGATGCATAATATGTAATCATAATTTGGGAATCAAGATTTTGAAGTAAAAGAGAGGTGTGGTTTCAATTTTGAGCATAATTTTTGTTTAAAAGCAGTCAGAAAGTCATTTAGAGCAGTGAACTAGAAATGTCGTTTCCAGGAAAGCATGTGACTTCAATTCAGAGCCCAGGATGTTAATTTGATGACTTGCTTACAAAGTTGAACTTTCATGACATGCAGAAATACAGGCTGGAGCCCATTAAGGTTCTTCTTTTCTTTTGAGTTCATTAGAGAATCAGGCTTCAGTCCAGGAGAACGGCTTCTTTTAGCTGAAGGGTTTCAATCTGTGAAGCCTCCAAGCAGAGAGATTTTGTATAAAAGTTCTCAAGTTGTCAGAACAGGAGAGAGGGGTTTAGGTCATCCGAACTGGGAAGAAGTGTCCAGGCTATCAAAACTGGAAAAAGTCAGGTAAATACATATGGAGAGAAAGAAGTGAAAATTGACTGACATCAAGTATCTGTAAAAAAAGTGCTGGGAAAATAGTTGAAACTCTACTTATAATCAGATCATTTGAAATTGTCAGATTTCTAGTTTATTTCACAAAAGGGGAAAAAATCTATGTTCTTTCGAAGATGATCAGCCTCGTGTAAACATATTCAGTGACTAACCAATGTGGTTAACAATGGCATAAGTTAAACCAAGAGAGTTCTGAAGAAGGGTCACTGGACTCAAAATGTTAACTTTTCTCCCCCCTGCAGATGCTTGCAGACCTGATGAGTTTCTCCAGCAATTTGTGTGTTTCAGATCTTCAACACCCTCAATTTTTTTTCATTATGATTTTACAAGTCAAGTTTCATTTTGGGTGCCGACTTGTCCCTTACAGTCTTCCGGCTATTAACAACATGGGTATTCATTCAAATTAAGAATTATCCATGAATCTATAAAGAAATAAGTAATTGGGAGGCACTGGGCATTTGAAAAAAACAAGTGTTGTGAAATATATTACATATATTAGGTTTTGAATGTTGCTAAGAATTTTTTGGAAGTAGAACATACAACAGTGGATTATTTCAAATTTTTGATTATGGCTACACACGGCAGGACCACATCAGGATGGGATGCTAAAAGTGATTACCCACTATTTAACAGTTAGGAGAGGAAAATCTGAAATTGATACATCACACCTAGTATTAGCTAAGATTTGGTTAAAAATAAGTTGGATTGCCAGAACAGGTTTAGGGCATCGGAACTGGACAAATGTCTGACAGACATCAAAATTGGAAAGACTCAGGTAAGGAAGAAATCAGGCTTAAAATAAGAATGACACTTCAGTGGGACTGATCATCTGTAAAGGATATTGCTAAGAGACAAACAACAAAATTCCAACCAAAGACATTTCTAAACTATCACAAATAATGTTATATATAAATATATAGAGCTTTCTTTGTTTGTTGTGAATATGGTCAGTGTTTAACTACCATTGTAGCTAAACGCAAATGTTAAACACATAAATGATCAAACAAGGCTTTATTCTGGGTTTTGACTTGTGCAGTATTTCCATCAGCTAACACTTTCAAATTAACTGAACAGTTGAAAGATGAAAAAAGATTTAGAATCACTTATTGGGAAAGGGCAGTGGGATGATAATTATAACTCTTTCAAAGAACTGGGACAGGCAATTGAACGGCCTTCTCCCACGCAATATGATTCTGCATGCAATCTTGAACTGGAATGGAGAAAATGGCTAGTGTCCTGTATTCCTATTAGAAATGCATTTGTGTAAATACATTGGCTGAGAACGGGACTGGATCGATTAGAATGCTTTATTACCACAGACACAGTCTATTGAAATTTTCATTGATTTGAAGTAAAGACAGTGTCACCATAACACAAATTTTGATTCGTACTGGGAACAGCTACAGCCAGGTAATTAAATTGGAGTGTTAGGGCCTTGATTTTTTTGGTTGGTGCTTTCACAAGTTAAAAATTAGAATTTTCCACACAACTTTTTAAAGTCGGTCATTTTGTTGTATTTTACCAAGTATCATGGCATACTTCTTCCGGAATTAACATTAAATTAGTCATATTGCTTAAAATAACTTTTCATATATAAAAAAAAAGTTTTGCAGTTAACCAACCTCAAGTGTGCTGATAAGTTCTTCATCTGGTTTCTTGGTTTTGATTCTTGATTTATAGAGGCTCCTGTAATTCCTCAATTTTTGTCTGTGCTTTCGAATGTGCCTCCATGACCAAGCATTAAGTGCAGGTTTTATATTCTCTTCCAATATGCCATTTATAGCGTATGCCCACCTGATTATGCAAAAGCATGACAACATCTACTTAAAAACAGATTACAAGTCAACATTAATACAGAATTGTTTTAGTTCTTCTTGATGTAAAGAATGTTTACTCTAGATATATGGGCCTCAAAATAAAATGCCTCCAGTAATGAAAGATCAACATGAATGATAAGTATGAAAATGAAATGCTGGTGTGGGTGTGGCTGGTATCATTTTGAAATGTCATTTGCCTCCAAAGCAAAAAGAGTAGACATATCTTAAATTCCTACAAACCTCGCAACACAGTCTCTATTGCCTACTGAATTTATCATGATCCATATAAAACGTGCAGTAGGCACAACATGCATTTGTGGGAAGAAAAACTAAGGCTGACTACAAATGTGACTATAGTAGGTCATGGCTGAAATTTGGGGATAAGTGTAGGTTGGGTTTGGCAGAGTCTAAGCTAAAACAAGAGTTCTGGGGTCTAGAATTTTATAAAACTGATCAACACATATTACGATTTACAGTAAATATCTGTTCAAATTAAAAATTCAGTTAAAAAAGAGTAGCATACTCATCTGTGTTTTGACATAATGCCAAATTCCAGACAAAGATCCATAAGTATAGGTTTTATCTCCTAAATGTCATGGTACAAAGCAACTGTCAAAGACAGTCTTTTTAAAGCTCAGTTCAATGCATTAAAAGTATTCATTTGTTAAAACAAACATTTTTACTATGGGAGAAAGGCAGATTTTACATAATTACATGTAGCACTTTACACATTGGGTAGTTAGATTGTGCTACAGAGTTTTCTTTTCTCCATTAAACCTCTCTGCTAGAAACTTGCCATGGTAAAATATATCTTGATCATAAAACCCATGGCATCTGTAACTCTTTTACTTGGTATATAAAGAACAGCAATAAAACTCCTCCAAATAGAAAACCAGAGCTTGTATTAACAGATAATATCAAGCACGCAAAACAATGCATGCATTTCAACTGGATTCTTAAGTGGTAGTACAGCAAATCACAGCGTCACAATATCACATCATTAACTACTTGGTAACTTTGCAGAATGTTTTCATACTAGCTCCAAAGAGTTTATTACATTCATTACTGTTCATTTAAGTATACCAAATAAAAGCATAATTGACCAACTGAATGGATTTTAAAACTGTATCTTGCAAGCACAAAATTACATTGGACAGAAAAGTCCTGCATTGAGAGTCTTGCATGACATCAAAATACGTGTCCAGATCCCAAAACATTGTACATATTCACTCAATAATTCAATCTATCCTTTTTGCTCCAGGGATAACAGTAATTATGTCATAGAGGGACATAATTTAATCCATCAAGTCAATTTTAACAAATCCAGGAATATCAGTAAACAGTCCACATATATATATATATAGCAAATTTTAAATGCAAACATAAAAATGCAATTGTTGTCAGACCAAATTAGGTATTAGTGTTTTGAGTAAAGATTTAACTTTTCAAAAACTGCATCACTGATTCTACAGTACAGCATACATTTTTATACAGATATGATAAATATAGAAATCATCCAAGTATTGCAATGGATCACAACTAGAAACTAACATTTTCTAACAATTCTTAGAGTAAATGTTCTTATCCTTCTTTAGAATTCATTCATAAGATGAAGGAGTTTGTGGCTATGCCAGCATTTATTGCTCATGCCTAGCTGCCTCAAAAAGGTGGAGGTGAATTATCTTCTTGGAACACTACAGTCAGTTTACTGTAGGTAGACCGATATCGACCTGCATGATTTTGACCCAGGAACACTAAAGGAACAGCAATAGATTTCAAGTCAGGATGATGAAGAACTTCCAGGATGTGGTGCTTTATGTATCTGCTGCTCTTGTCCTTCTAGATGGTAGTGCTCTTGGGTTTGGAAGGTGCTAAGAAGCTGCGAATTTCTACAGTGCATCCTATAGATGGTACACATGATTGCTGGTGAGTGATAGTTTATCAAAGTGGTTTCAATCAAGCAGGCTGCTTTGTCCTGGACATGCTTCTTTAGAGTAATTGGAGCTGCACTGATTCAAGCATTTGGGAGCATTCCATCACACTCCAGATTTGTACCTTGAAGATGGTGAACAAACTTTGAGTAGTCAGGTGGTGAATTACACACTGCAGGATTCCTAACCTCTGGACCTCCTCTTGTAGCCACTGTATTTATAATGGTATGTCCAGTTCAGTTTCTGGTTTATGATATCCTCCAGACTGTAGACCGAGGGGGATTCAGTAGTGATAATTCAATTGAATGTCAAAGGGCTATAGCTAGATTGTTGGAGATGGTCCATTCATTGCCTGGCACTTGTGTGGCACTGAAGTCATTGACCACTTGTCGGCCCAAACCAGGACAACGTCCAGGTCTTGCTGCATTTGAACATGAACTGGTTCAGTTGCAACACCATCTAGACAATAATATTACCATATTATTGCCTTACATACTTCAGTGAACACAATAATTCAATTAATAAGCAAAGTCAAAATCTATTGCTCTCCACATTTTTTAAAAGAAAGCTTCTATACCATATTCTTTCAAGTAATCGTGTTTGCTTCCAAACCAGCAAATTGAAATATTTACCATTTCCTAGCATTGTTGTGACAGGGGACATCCGGCCGATATTTTCTATACGGCAGATTTCGTGTCATCATATCAATTGATCCAAGTAACTCCATGATGCTAAGATACTATTCAAAGGAAAAAAAATAAGGTTATTTATGGAAACATAACATACTGTTGTGATTCAAATTGATGTTATTAAAGAACAAGTCAGATCCCAGAATAAATCTCACTTGCAGAGAGCTTCATTTTAACGAGGTGATCTTTTGTCATTGAAGCAAACACACAATGCTGCAGACATGGTTGTAACAAAAAAAAAAGCAAGCTTTTTTATTGTGCAAAAAAAAAATCATATCACAAGTTTAACTGTTTTAAAACACACAATAAAATTGGATCCCATTAATCCCAGAAGTACTCCTTCACAAGACACACACCAGAGAGAATTCCCTTCTTCATCACATCTACATGGCTTGATTTAACTGATGCCTCAATTTATGGTCTTGAAAAGAAGATAGCTTCTTCCCAAATTCTTTATACAACTGAACTTAGACTTCTTCTGTTTCAAATAATCTGTTCGAAGTTTTTAACCAAACCCTTCTGGTCTGAAAGTTTGAAATGGCCCTATTTACACATAGGTAAGTTCCAAACTCGCTCCCTACTATAGGGAGCCATTGTTTTCCACAATGTGTTACAGGCAAGAACTCAACTACAATCAAAAAAGGGTTACTTCAAACTAAGTGTTTCTCTAAGCCAAAAAAAATTATTCCAGAACATTCTACCCGAAGCCAAATGCACCACTATTTACTCTGTTCGCTTATAAAGTTATTGAAGGACAATAAAACTCCAGTACTCCCTAGGATGTCTCTCCCTCAGTTTTTTAAAAAATCTTTTATGGTTACAGACAACTGACAAATTAATGATTAAAGCACTTCACTGATATCTGGGGAGGACAGAGGAAGTAGGGCCAAGTAGGGGGAAGGAGGGGAACCAAGAGAGAGAACAAGGAGGAAAAAGACAATGAAAGAAAGTGGGCAAGCGAGGACCAAAACTCCATTGAGAGGCAGTGTGTGTGGGACCTATAGCCCGAGGAGGTCATCATGTCATCGTGTGTGAATCCATAACCCTCTTTCCGAGAGCACCTACCCCTCAAGGACTCGGAGAGAATTTCACAAAGCTAGGTGGTGAAGGAGTGTTCAGTTAATCCATGGCCTTTGCCTCAGGCCACTTTGGGGAGAGCAGCATCTCCTCATCCATTCTACCACTTAATTGCACCTTCTTTTTGGTTACAGGGTCTGACGGTGTGGATGCTGATAGAATGCCCCCTCCGGCCAGTCAGTCTAGACTGAGAGGAGTAGGAATTCCATTGCCTAGAGTGGAAGCTCAAATTATTAGGTTTGATCAAAGACAAACAAACATCAGTAGATTTGTGCTACTTGGAATATCAGGCGATCTAGGGACGCAGAGGAAAGAATGCATTGGGACAAATGATCAACTATGAGTTAACTGATTAGTGGGTTAGGTTTGAAGAGCTGAATGGCCTACTCTTGATCCTAGGTTCCTTGCTATGACTTTGAAAGGTTTCAATGATGTCCTTCCATAAAAAGATAGTGCCACATGAGAATCTCATGGCACCCAGTTCAAGGTTGTTTAAAAGGTGACATGCACCAGTCTGCTTTCTGTTGCAACTCAGGCAAGCAGCTGCCCACTGTAAACTCTGTGGTGCAAGGTGGAACATACCGAAATATTGACATGTGGGTGCAGGGACTTGTGGTCAACAGAGGAGACAGTAGACAATCAGGAGTGTTCTGCTCAGATGTGCTACAGAGTTGGGATAAGGAGTAGGGGTGCTGCCAGACTTTCTGTATATTTCTGACACTTTTGTTTTATTCAGATTTACAGCAGTATTTGCTTAATGGATACAGTTAACTTGTAGGAGATATAAAATAGATATTTGCACCAAAACAAATAGTTTCAGCAAACAATTATAGCTAATGTAAAGTCCAACTAGTTTTAAAGGCAACTGACTCTTAAATGGACATTGAATCAGGGGACTGAAGATCATTAAGGCAACCCCTGTGTGGCCAGAAACACGAGAAAAATTGCTTATAGTGCAGATGGAACACATTCTAGCATAATATCAGTCAGAAATGAATTAATTTAGCCTAACTGAAAGGAATACAACTCTGAAGCACAGCTGAAGTGTTGATCCCATGACCAGCCTAACATTTCAAACACCATGAACAGATTGAACAGTAAAATGCGTGTGCACTAAGGGGGCAAGGAATTATATACTCATCTTACATACGGCTGTATAAAAGCTGAGCTCAAGAGGAAACTATGGAAACTTGAAAGAGTTGTTGAGTATAAGAGACAATTAAGATGAGACATTATGTGCAACTATCAATATGCTAAATTCATTGTATGAAATGATGGGTTTATATTGATTGGACAAACCTTTAAGTTCACAATCCTACAGGAATTTACAAGAATAGCCCTGGTATGTAGATTTATCAGACTGCACCAAGGTTTAGAAAGGATTTAATTAAATGGGCAATAAAGTTGGTTTGTATTTAATTAAGTTTCAAGTTGAGGGATGTTATTATTAATCAAGGGATTCACGACGGTGGATGCCAACGGAACAATTTCCTCTGACACAGCAAGGTCAAGGAGGCATCTTCTAAAAATACAACTACTAACATTTATAAATTAATTCAAATAGTATTTTTTGACACAATGGAGTTGTTAGAATTTGCATCCCTAAAAGGAACGATGTTTGGTTAACTGAAATTTTCAAAATGGAAGTGGTAGTTCTGAAATTCGGTAAAAGATGTCCCAGGCTATGGACAGCTGACGAGTAAAAATAACTCGAAGCCCACAGGACTCAAAACAGACTTGAGTGGCTGAATAGCCAACTTTTGTTCCTTTAATGAAACATGTAACAAACTACAACCATTTAAGTCTGATATGTCAAGTCTCTTTTAGAAGATCTTGTGCCAAGTTTAGTTTTCCCAGATTTCACTCAGCCAGCCCACACCTCAAAACATCCTTAAAACACACTAAATCCCATTGATAGTGCTAACCTACAAGAGCAATTCTTGGACTACTTCAATTTGACTGTTTTTTTTTTTTAAAAAAGAAACAGTCCTCAGCTATACTACCGGACAACAGCAGCTCTTTAGCAACCACAAGAGGATTTTCAATTGTGCCCTTTAACTTAAACATAATCATAAATAAAAATAAGAACATTGAGGAATTTGGCATGTCTAGCATGAAGCCTATTTCATTCTGAAAACATTTACAAGATGTAAAATTGTGCATTTCTTTATGGAACAAATGAAGGACTGTTTTGAAATGGGTCTCTTGCTGAGGAAAACTTCTACCCTTGGGGCAGGGGCATAAGTCATGGATCCCATTACCATGCCTGGCCCTGCCCCAAGCAAAGCAGGACCCTCCGAGCCTTGCTCCTGGTTACTGGGCTCTCACGTACAACCTGTCCATGGCCCTACTTCTACCTATAAGCGAATGATTCAGCCAGAGATGTCTATTTGTTAAAATTTTAATTATTGTAATACCCAAGTATCATTTTATTGCAACTTTTCAAAAAAAATAACAACAATGTGGTTTCATTTATGATAGAATCATACGGTGTAGAAGCCCTTCTGATTGAGCCTATACCATCAAAAATATACCACAACCTAAGTGAGTCCCATTTTCCCCACACTAAGCCCATAGCCTTGATGTTACAACACATCAAGAGCTCATCCAAGTACTTCTTAAAAGGAAGCGGTTTCAACTACCCTTCCAGGCAGTGTATTCCTGAGCACCACCTTCTGGATGAAAAGATTTTTCCTCAAATCCCCTGTAAAACTCCTGCCTTGAACTATGAAATTTTTCTAACCGATCCTTTGATTAAAAAAGGGAATACCTGCTTTCCATTGACCTTGTTCATACCTCTCAGGTACCCACCCTCAACCTTCTCTGCTCCAAAGAAGCCAACCTAAGCTTATCCAGCCTCTCCACAGCTGAAATGCTCACCCAAGCAACATCCTTGTGAATCTCCTTTACATTCTCTCCAGTGCAAACATATCCTTTTGATATAACTGCACATCTTTAAGTTTAGCATAAATTCTACACCAAACAGTAACCTACAGGGCATAACCACATTTCACTTCAGAATAAAAACAGGAAAAAACTGCGGACGCTGGAAATCAAAAATTGCTGGAAAAATTCAGGAGGTCTGGCAGCATCTGTGGAGAGAAATCAGAGCTAACATTTCAGGACCAGTGACCCTTCCTCATAACTCTTCTTCTGTTTTTGTTTCACTTCATCAGAATGATTTCACCACATTAATTTGCAAATCTGGAAACAGATTCACTGAAATAATGAATGTTTAGAATGTGCTACATAGGAAGCAAGCAAACTGTGAACCCACAATTATTACCTGAGGCCTATTTATTTCGATTGCTATATCTTCAAGATTTACTTCCAAGTTCATTTTTGGCGAAGCAAAGTCAACTTCTGCTCGTGGATTCATTTCGAGTTTAGCTTGGGCAGATAATGGCTGAAAAACTTAGTTTAAAAAAGTTGAAAGGTACATTAGTTCAAATTTTGCATAGAAATTTTGTTTCTCAAATTATGTTAGTATCCAAGTGTCAAAAACAAGATAAATTTATGTCCTTTCATTTGCAGTAAGGAGCCTTCCTCACTCACAGAAGTTCAACAGCCCAGGGGAGACTAAGGGCAATGTCCCTTAAAGAGATCTAGGCACCTACGACTCTGCTACTCCCTGGTTTCATTAGATTGCACACAATTTCTGATCTGTTGATGACTTGCAGCTAGAAAGGAAAAAGGAGTCAATATTTGCACAAATGTCACATTAAACTACTTGCACTCATAAATATCAAAGATAAAGTCAGGGGTAAAAAAAAAATTTTAGTTGCGTACAGCTAACTGTGAGGTGGGTACTCATGCTTCTCAAAGCACGATATATATGCTCAAATAGTTTAAAAACTGCCCTCTAAAACAAGCGTGAACTCAGCTGACACCCACCACTCTTGGTAACTGCAGGTCTGCCTGATGGCCTGAGTACCATTCTCGACACGCACCTGTTTGCAAACTCCTCCTAGGCGAGACAGCCAGCCCATTCTGTAATGTGCATGTGACAACCACACACTGTTTTTGCCTCTCAGTTACAGCATGCTCACTTCTAGCCAAACCCAATTTTGTGGAACTCTGGAACATCTCTATAGACTTGTTTAAGACAAATGCACCTACACAACCAGCCCCTCATAATTTAACCTATAGAAACTTAGTCCCATTCTGACAAATCTGTGCTGCAAATTCAAATAAAATGCTTATTTTCCCATGATGCGCTGCCCGTATATTAATACAGTGTCCTAACAGCACCCTGACTAGAGCAAATCACTCTCACCCAGCATTAAACCAATGAGAAATGAGAAATTAGACAGCATAACTTGTTATTCCACCCTTAAAAAAATCCTTTAACTCATAGATACATTGAGTGAGTGGGCAAAGGTCTGGCACTTGGAATACAATGTAAATAAATGTGAAGTCATACATTTTGGTAGGAGTAATAGTAAGAAGGATTATTACTTGAATGGTAAAAAGTTACAGCATGCTGCTGTGCAGAGGGACCTGCGTGTCCTTGTGCATAAATCACAGAAGGTAGGTCTGCAGGTACAACAAGTAATTAGGAAGGCAAATGGAATTTTGTCCTTCATTGCTAAAGGGATTGAAATTAAAAGCAGAGAGGTTATGTTGCAGCTGTACAAGGTGCTGGTGAGGCCATGCCTGGAGTACTACATGCAGTTTTGGTCTCCTTACTTGAGAAAGGATGTACTGGCACTGGAGGGGGTGCAAAGGAGGTTCACTAGGTTGATTCTGGAGTTGAGCGGGTTGGCTTATGAGGAGAGACTGAGTAGATTGGGATTATATTCATTGGAATTCAGAAGATTGAGGGGGGATCTTATAGAAACATATAAAATTATGAAGGGAATAGACAAGATAGAAGTAGAGCGGATGTTTCCACTGGCAGGTGAAGCTACGACAAGAGGGCATAGCCTCAAGATTAGAGGGAGCAGATTTAGGACTGAACTGAGAAGGAATTTCTTCACCCAGAGGGTCGGTAATCTATGGAATTCCTTGCCCAGTGAAGTAGTTGACGTTGCTTCAGTAAACGCTTTTAAAAAAAAGGTAGTTTTTTTTGAACAATAAAGGAATTAAGGGATACAGTGAGAACATGGGTAAGTGGATCTGAGTCCACGAAAGGATCAGCCATGATCTTATTGAATGGCGGAGCAGGCTCGAAGGGCCAGACGGCCTATTCCTGCTCCTAGTTCTTATGTTCTTAACCTTTTAAAGGATTTTGTGAAGCAAGTACAGTGGCACAATGGGTTAGCAATGCTGCTTCACAGCTCCAGGGACCCAGGTTCAATATCAGGCTTGGGATGACTGTCTGTGTGGAGTTTGTGCCAGGTCCTTCCGTTTTCTCCCACAGTCCAAAAGATGTGCAGGTTAGGTGGAGTGGCCATGCGAAGTTGCCCCATGGTGTGCAGATTAGGTAGATTAGCCATGGTGAAATGGGAATGTGGGGATCTGGTTGGGATGCTCTTCAGAGGGTCGGTGCAGACTTGATGGGCTGAACAGCATCCCTACAATGTAGGTAGATGCCATGATTTTATAAGTAGTTTAATTTCTTTTATGCATAGAACAAAAAACAAACCAATGAGATTTCTACATCTGTCCTTTATCCAGCAGTGCGTTGCTTGAAACCTGTTACATAGGTATTATTGTGAAAGTTTGAAACATTTAATTCTTTATCCTCCCATAAACGTTGTCCAATCTGCTGAACATTTCTATTTTCTATTTATATTTCGTATTTCTACATCTACAATATTCTGCTAAACTTTAATGACTTGGATGGATGCACAGAGAACTAAGCTAGAGGTTCAGAATTGCATAAGTAGGAGCAAGGAAGTTACAAAACAGCATAGTATTGGTATTCAAACCAAGTATTCATCACAGAATTCAATGCAGGCAAGAGCAATATCACTCACTTTGGATTCAACTGGAATTTTTCTATATCATAAGATACTGGGAGCTGTGGAATAACAAAAGGAATTCTGTTCCTTGTACAAACATCACTGATACCTATGTGGAGCTACTGAAAGTACTCAAGATCAACAGAATGATGATTTCTAAAGGGCTGAATTATAAAAGTGAAGAAAGTTATGTCTCAGTTGCAGAGTCTGAATCAGACTCCAAATGAAACATCACATTCAGCTACAAGATCTGAACTTTAGACAGAATACATTGGCAATATAAGTTTAAATGGACAGAATTACATAACTGGATCACGTAATCATATTTCACATGCTGAAACTGGAGGGGAAGAATTTCCTGCAGAAACAACAAGAAGTGAGCAGCGTTGACGATGGTAGGGAAAAGAAACTGAATGCAGCTTGTTTTCAGGCAAAATAATTTAATAGAATGGACTAGAACCAACATTATTTGTACAGCTCCTTTCTTTCCCACATGGCGTGGTGTCCCCTGAAACAGCAAGCGAATTTTAAACAATTACTTTTTCAATCCGTTTGATGCTGTCCCAAATTACTCATTGCTCAGATAATAATCCCGAAATTACTACCCAAGAACAAGCAAATAAAACTGCAGATGCTGGGAAACTGAACTAAAAACAGGAGATGTTGGAGAAAATTAGCAGGTCTGGAATAATAGTTGAGTCACATTGAACTTGAAACATTAACCCTGTTTCTCCCTTCACAGATGCTGCCAGGCCTGCTGAGTTTCTCCAGCACTTCCTGTTTTTACTACCAAAGAAGTTCTGCTTTTTGACTGTAGTGCACAAGATTCTTGGCAGGGATGTATGTTTCTGGTTCCAACATAGACCACAACAACTGGTTCTTTATCCTTACGTGGCCACATAGTTTAATTAGTTTTCAGTAAGAATCTGCCAATTTTTCCAAATTTTAATGTTTATACTTAGGATATTTGTATTTTTATCTATAAGCTGACTTTTGATTAGTCTAAGAAATTGTATTCCTTTGGAAGAGACAGCACAAACTGTGTAGGAATACCTTTTATGAAGTGATTAAGGATATTACGTTATGTTAAAAAGCATACCACAGTAAAAATATGCAACTTACTGAATTGGTAAGTCTCTGGAATAAAGCTGCGTCTTGAGACTCCATTTTTCAAGTCTTTCTGAAAAGGTAATTTTTAATGTTACACAGTAATATCTAGAAATAGCATTTGTTCACACTTATCAGAATAAAACACATTTAAAAGTTCAGGTGTTTAAAAGGAGTTGGACCGTCCATTCAATAGAGTACACAAATCACACATCAAACATTATTCTCAGTAAAAAGCATTTGCTTAATCTGAATTTAGTCCCCAGTATAAATAACTGAGCTATAGGAGATTATTTTCAAAAATCTGCTGCAAACTGGCATTGTAATCGGAGACTGCAAGAATCATCCCAAAATCCAGGAAGTAATAGAGCATCCCACCTGCTTGAAAATCTAGGAATTAAGTGCTTAATATTAATCAAGATAATGCAAGTCAACTGTTCAAAAGCTGTATATGTTTAACATTAAAAGATAACTCATGCATTCATTTAAATACAGTCAACATTGTGCTTTCTCATACCAAAAGTACTGTACCTTATGGATTCAACAATACCAACTGAGATAAAATTCTTATAATTATGCACGCTCAAAGTATGTCTTATGCGCTTTTGCAGTTTAAAGGCAATAAAGATTGGAGGTCACATTCTGTCAAAATTATCCTAACACATTTAGGAAAATGTTAAGATCTTGGAGAGGGTGTGGGGGATATTTACAAAAATGCTACCAGAGATGCAAAACTTCAGAACTTATTTCAATCAGTAAAAACAGGGAAAATGTCCCCTGTTGCAGAAAGATCAAAAACTAGAAAACACACATTTAAGAAAAGATATTGGAAAAAGCACCAGAGGTAACATAAAACAGAAAGTTTTTTCTAAAAACGTGTGGCATTCTGATCATCTGGACTTCACGACTTCAAAATGTGAATGAAGCAGAGTCAGTGATAACTTCCAAAAGGGAATTAGAAAAATATTCAAAAAGGTGGAGGGAGAGAGGCAGTCGGCTCTGAGAGGGGAGGGAGTAGGGCATCAGGGACATACCCACACAGCAAAAAGCGCAGAATCAGAATATTTATCATATAAAGTCAACTCACCAAAGCCTGAACCTGATGGCTTTTTGAATACATTTTGGTGTTGACATTCCAATATGCACAGAGGTAGTCTAATCGAACAAGCTAAAATTATTAAACACATACAAACAATTAATTTAGAAATATCACATCAAAATCCTATTATGTACATTTAATGTTAGAAATGGTAATCAGTTTTACCTTATTGAAGACATGTTCACACTGATCATGCAAGCATGGATTCCATCTTTCATCTGTTGTCTATAGTGTAAGAAAGGATTTGAAATTATGAAAATAGCATTACATTTCCCTGGAACATGTGAGCTGCTCATATTCAGAAAGATAGAATTTCAAAGAGACTAAACAGTCTTGTTTTTGCGCTAAATGTTGGTTTGATGTCACAAGATATTGAGTTCCTGCTTGAAGCTGCAGTTTTCACAAACTTTTCAAAGGCAGCTTAAGTATATCCAGGTATCATTAAGAAATATATTTCTGGCCTATTCTGTTTGGTAGTAGTGAAGATGAGATCAGAATAAGGGCAGGTAATATTGCCAGGTGTCAGTGAACAGCTTCAATGATGGACCTCTGCGTACAGTCCTGGAGCCCAGTTGTGGATTCAGCAGCACTAGGAAGTTGTACAGTCATATTCAGCTTGAGCATGCAGACACACCAAAATTTAAGATTATTCCTACATGAGATTTCTGGGTAAGATTAAGCCGAGGGCTCTGTCGAGACTTTTCAAAAGTACAGGTAAGATTGAAGTGATCTTTGTCCTCAACTAACACGCTTGCCCAAGCAGCAACCACCAAATTAGTATGATGAAAACTCAGACGAGGTAGGTGGCAGCAACAAAAACAAAAAAATAGAGACAGCCTGAAACTGCAAGTCTGAAACTTGGGGAAGATCTAGATTTATTCAACCTGCCTAAATCGTGTACTTTCTCGCTTCCTTCAGTACCTCTGAAGGAAGCAGTATCTTAAGCAAATGATTCCCTACAACACAATGATTTCCTTTAGTACACTGATTACAACTTATTGATTCAAAAACTTTGCAGTGTCTATTTTTTGAAAATGAGGTGGCTACATTATCAAAGAATAATTTTACTCCTTTTTTATCTCATTTACACCATACCTGCTTGAGGAAAAATTTATGATATTTTCTCTTGAAAGCTACCCTTCAAGTATTACTACCTTTTTTTTTTAAAGGGGGGGGGGGGGCTGGAGAAGAGAAGAGAAGCAGCGGAGGGATGAGGCCATGACCAGTTGCTTAAAATAGGCAGTCACCAATCTGTAAGCAATCGATCATTTTTTGAGTTTAAGAAGTGTTTACAGATCATTCATTCTATATTCACAACCTAGAACCATGGTCTCAAACCCATACATTGTAATCAACGAGTCGACTGCAAAGTATCTAACAGTGGATCACAGTCCCTCATACACCATCAAAGGTTCCTCCAAGTGGTGTGCGCAAATTAATCATTGTGCTGCTGTAGGACTTCTGCTTCCAGAAGCCACCGTCATGCAGAGAGCTCTGAGGTCTGTTCAGGATGAAGAAAAACTACAGGGAGCAATTCCATGACCCACATCCAATATCTGGGAAACGGAGACAGACCCAGGCTTTGGAAATAAATTGCAACACAGAAGTGTCTTCACACCCAAACAGCCAACATTTCAGATGTTCCAGAAGTTTGAATCTAGAGGTCTACCTGCAGCATGACCAGTGGCAGAGTACCATGATGAACCACAAAAATGAAGTGACGACAAAGCAAAGCAGCCTCCAGGCCCAACTTTAAAACTCAATCTCTGTACTTGCAACCAACCATGATGGCAAACCATTTCTAAAATCTAGTTCAAAAAGCCAGGACAACTCAGTTGTTTAACATGTGTACAGTAAATCTTTAATCCAATGTGTGTTCTCCATTGGAGGCTAGTATCTAGTAGTATATTGGTTTTTGCTTTAGGTAAGAAAAAAAAAAATACACGACTGGCTAGTAAATAATGATGCAAGATGAGCCTGGATCATTTCAAAAGAAACTGAAAATGTACAACTTCCATGCAGAATGGGAAAATGAATTTGTTCACAACTATAAAACAGACTGTTTGCCTTAAATCTCTCAGTATATTGAGAAGTTAAAAGGGCAATTTGGAACAATACAACTCAGCACAGTAAATTCAAATCAGCTTTTCCTTGAACAGTATGCTTTGGACAAACAGCTGATAATTTGCAAGTTCAACAGCCTTTTTTCCCCTAAAATCAGCAGCAATGTGGTAAGGCCCGCACTGAAGCATTATTTCACATTTGCCATCTTCTGGAAAACCTGAATGAACCATTCACTGATGCAAAGTAATTAAAGCATCAATGACTGTGGCAGCTGACTCTTTATTCAAAGTTTAAAAACAAAGAAGAAACAATAACAATAATCCAGCGCATGCCATTTGGTGTTTCCACAATAGCAAGATAAGCGGAATCTTTGCCTGAAAACATCTTGCAGCAACTAGAGCAGGACCTGAAGGCTGAGCACCCAGCTGATTGTTCTTGACAGCATTTAAGGACACATCAACAAAAGATTTTTTTCATCGTTGTGCCCCTTAAAGAAAAAGCAAGGGCTGAGAATACTTCGAACAAATCCAAAAGCTGTGCACTTAAGAACTACCTGTCAATCAAGTAACTGGCTTCTATCACAACTGAAGTTTGGTGTAAATGCAAGCTTTGTTGTGTTCTGCATAATTTATTCCTTCCTTTGTCAATTGCTACTGTATAAACCACCAACAAGGACTTGCAATTAAAGTCTGGGCTTCATTCATAAAACGAATGTTAAGACCGTAAACTCTATGAGCAACAGCCCTTCAGCACTGCTTGTTTAAATCCTTACTTGATGAAGTCTATGCAGCCTACAGTGCATTAAACCTTGATGCTGATATGAGTTGGTTGAGTCAAGGGAAATTGTCACTTTCCTTAAATCAAGGAATAAGTGTGCAGTGAGCTGTCAGACAACACGTGGATGCTCAACTTCAGATTCTTGGCAGACAAAGCTTAATGAGCTGAACTGTGAATGGCAAACAAAGGGCAGATATATGATCAGTGCTGAGAATGCATTCATTTTGAACTGGGTCTGTGTCCTCCCGATGAAAAAAATTAAATGCTGCAACACTCAGTACGGAGGAAACATTGGGGGTCGGAACAAAAAAGTTTTCGCCCTGAAAATGTCAGTGCGCACCTGAAGAAGTTAGCAGATAAATTCACAAATTAGATGTGGCTTAATAAATCATGATATCTGTGTCAAATTCCATCGGGTGTAAAACAATGGAGTTGATGTTGTGACGATGCCGAGGCCGTAAGAGGTACGTTTAGCCCTGGTTGCCTTTAGAGAGAGATTGGGGGACAGGTGCCAAGTAGTCTATGAGAAGACAGACAACTTGGTGAGGCCTTGGATTTTTAATTTAAAAAACGTTGGAGCAACAGAAACAGCCTGAGGGGGTGTGCTTAAGCTCTCTTAGATCAAGGATTTTTAGTTCGCTTTCGGCAGTAGCTGCTGGGGTCTCAGCAGGGATGGAAGCCAGTAAATCTCTCCCGCCTGCTACAGTCTCTCTCAGAATTTTTTTTGATATTCTTTCCTCCTAGATTGTTTCGGATTGAACACGGTTCTGAGGAAGGGTCACCGGACCCGAAACATTAACTCTGTTTTCTCCTTCAGATGGTGCCAGACCTGCTGAGCTTTTCCAGCAACTTTGTTTGTGAATAAATTGAGTTCTGCTTAACAGCATGTAGCTTGACTAATTGAATTGCATCTCAAATTTAACTTTAAAATAAGAAAACGTTAGGGTTTAAGCTACTTTCTTAATATATTTTGAGGGGTTCTGGTCTGGTCCATAACAATACAGAGATAATTACTATACAAAATTATGCTGAAAGTCAGTGCAAGAGTCAGTGATTTTGGGGAAATCAAACAGAGGAAGGTACCCACTTCTAATATTCTGTGTTGCTCACTTTAGTTCCACATATCTCAGAGACAGCCATTTGATGGACTATATACAACTATTAGTCTCAAACTCAAAGTACAAAGTCACTGCCGATAATGTCACAGATTTGGTGACTAGATTTTTACGGCACCAAAAATAGACAATTTATTCTATATTTTCTGGGTTAAGTCTTGGGTTACACTTAAATTCAAAAAGTCCTCTCACGTTTAAATGTTGGAGACTACTGACCTAGAAAGATAAGAACAGTAGGTGCATGGGAAACACCTGCAACTTCTTCACAGACACACAACTTCTTGACTTGGAGCTATAGTACTGTTCCCTCATTACCAAAGTGGTTAATATTCTGGAATTCCATTCCTAATAACACTAACAAAAACAGAAGTTTCTGGAAAAGCTCAGCAGGTCTGGCAGCATCTGTGAAGAAAAAAAATCAGAGTTAACGTTTTGGGTCCAGTGACCCTTCCTAATAACATTAACTGTCTAATTTCACCGTGGAGTGCATCTGTTCAAAACTGTCATTCACCACTAAGTTCAAGATGAATTAGGGATGAGCGACAAAAGCTGGCCTAGCCAGTGATGCCCATATCCCGTGAAAGTTTTGCTTCTTTAAAATGCCAGAAATTATAGCCCAGTTTCAAATTTTGGTTTTGGGACAGGCTAAAACAGTCATGAAGTACACAAGAACAAGGAGCAAGAAATGAGAAGTAGACTGCTTGTAACAGTTTGGATTAACAAGAGTGCGGTCCAGTCAATCGCAATAACCTGTCCTTATTCTACAGGAGTGGGATTGATCAAGACAGATGATTGGGCAAGAACAACTTGAAACAGAAAGTACCATTAATATGATGGCTCTCATAAGGAGCTCTAACTTGTTACAGCTGAAATAAGCCACCAATAAATTTCTTGAACAAGGACACAGTTTGGTCATTGATTACGTAAATACTACTTCAATGACTGGGCGGGAGGGAAAACAGTCAAGAGAGAGAGTGGCTTTACATAGCACCTTCACAGCCTAAGGGCAGCCCAATAATGTCAGAGTCAATTCAGTGTTTTTGAAATGTGCTTACTTGTAAAGAAAATATGGCAGCAAATTTGCTCACATCCAGGTCCCCTGATAGCAATGAAATACATCAATGAATTATCTGATTTTATTGGGCATCGATAAAGGGATAAAAGTTTACCCAGGACACTGCAAAGTCTTTTCCAGTCCATGGAATCTTCCAAAATAAGACAGTACACAGGACCTCAATTTAACGTAACAAAAACAAAGAACTGTGAATACTGGAAATCTGTAATAAAAACAAAGTTCTGGAGAAACTCAACAGGTCTGGTAGCATCTGCAGAGGGAAAAATAGAGTTAAAATGTTTCACGTCCGGTGGCCTCAATTTAACATCATCTCTGAAAGTTACCAGTGAGAATTCCTGCAGTACAAGATTAAAGCTTCAGGCTAGATTAAATGCTCAAGTCTATATATGGACCTTGAAACCAAGATCTTTGACTGAACAGGCAGAAGTGCCATAAAGATCTGACTAATGAAGGAATTAAAACGCTTAAAATCTACATTACCTCAAGACTCAAGTTCTCAAGTGAAATTCCAAATGACAATGGAGAGTTTTGATTTGTGATCTGCAAATAAGAATAGAATTATGAAAAGAATTTACAACAGGAAAAAAGCTATTCAAAACTAGATATAGTTATGATGATTAATCACTTAAAGTTGAAATGAACAGCAGTGCTCTTTATATGAATTATGTGAACTACACTAACAAACAAAAAAAATCAGATTTGGAAATGACAACGGGCAAGACTTCAATGCCCAAAAACAGATGTGATCATTGAACATGAGAAATAGAATGGCCACTCAGGCCCTCAGGCCTGTGTTAATATTCTACAAAATCACAGCTGATCTATTCTTGGCTGATCTTAAAGAGTTCCAAAAGTAGAAGACTGTACAGACGTCATATCAGGGAAAGCATCTTAAATGTTCAGTGACAATCTGGAAGTATGCAGAGCAAACAAATCACATCAACAAATTTGATGCCAGTAATGCCAGCTTTGATCTCAACCCTCCAACAACACGCTCAACTTCACAGTTGAATTCACATTTGGCAGCAGGACAGAATCCCCATCATTGTTATTTAAAGAGATTAGCAAAACCTTACATTTAAGCTGCAAATTGATTTTTTCTGTCTTTGCTATAATTCTGCAAGTGTTTGCAGTGTACTACAATTATTTAAAATTGCAGAAGGCTACAGGAGCATTGTAGCTGATGCTAAACTTCTCACTGATAAATTCAAAACTCCCACACAAAACCAGTTTCTCTTACAGATGCATGTAGTATTCATTCCACCTAAAATGCAGCAACGGGTTAGAAAATAAAAAGAACAACTGAATCCAGCCATTTCTGCTCCATCAGCCAATGATCAATATTCAAAGTTTTTGTATTCAATGGAAAGCATCACGAGCAGTGCTATCAAGCAGCACTTATCAACTGCAGAGTTTTGGTTCTACTCCAACAACCTGGATCAAACGTGGAAAAAAGGGCTCAATTCCAGAATTTAAAAAAGGTGAGAGTGACAGCATTTGTTAGAACGGCAGCTTTTGTCTGCATGTGGATTGGTTGAATGGCAGGAGGGATCGAAGATACTCCAATGGCTGTGGATATACCTAGCATAAAAGGAAGACGACTGACTGTCATACGGTCACCTTTGTATAAGGTAGGCTGAAGGGCTAAAAGTTAATGATGATATTCCATAGCTGCATGAGAAGATAGATTGTATAGGATGGGCTGAATGGCTAAAATTGTTGACAATACTCAACAAGCTACGTGACCTTAGAGGAGTATTGTTAACATTCCTTTACAGTCAAAGACAGCACCTGCAATTTGTTTTCTGTATTCGTGTTTTGTCTTTTGTATCTTCTTTTTTTTGTGCTGTCTGTTTGTTACATCGCAAAAGAGAGAGTGAGTTTTGTTCCAAATCACTGGACTTCGCTTCGGCTCCGAATTGTGAACAATGTCAGGAACGAACTTAAGACCGACGGCTGGTCTGGAGGGCCCCGAACAGGCAGGTGGGTGTGAGACTTGTTGCCTTTTCTAGAAGGGCATGAGACTTGTTTTTTCCTTTTCTCTTCCATTTATTATTACCACTATATTCATTTATTATTACTTAATAAACACTCATATTTAAGCAAATTGTTGTGGTTGAGCCTTCTCTTTATTATATTACCTGAACCTGAAAAGAATTGTTTGGATACATGCTATGATCCAAGACAATCTTAGGCACAGGATCTCAATGCGGAAGTTCCCCAGAGCAGTATCAAGTCCAACCACCTTCTGCTGTGTCACGGACCATCCCCTTCATCATAAAATTTAGATATAGGGATGTTTGCTAAAATGGCACAGAGTTCAGCAGCACTGCAACTCTGCCAGTAATTAAACGGTACATCCTCATATTCACCAAGACCTGGAGAAAATATTAGGTTGACACAGCAGCTAACATTTTCTCCCCAAACAAGCACTCAGCATCTTCAACTGAAAAAACCTGACATTTCCACCTTTATCTCCAACAGTATTATCATCGGTGAATCCCTCACCATCAACATTCTAACGTATTACCAGTGACCAGAAACTGAACTGGATCAGCCACAAGTGCTGTGGATACAAAAGTAGGTCAGAGATACAAAACAAAATATTCAGATGGTAGAAATGGAAAATAACACAGACAATACTGCAGAGTTTCAGTAGGTCAGACAACAACTGTGCAGAAAAGATGAATATTCAATAGAGACCCTCCATGCTCCACCTGCATCTTCACCTCAAAATGTTAATGCTCTTCTTTTCCACTGGATGTTGCCTGACCTATTGAGCATTTCTGGGATTTTGTTTTATTTTAGCAGGTCATAGATTAAGAATTCTGCAGCAAGTGACACGTCTCCAGTGTCCAAAAAGCCGATCCACCAGCTAAAAGGCACAAGTCAAGAGAGGCATGACAGCTACTTCTCACTTGTCTGGCCAGGTGCCACTCAAACATCATTAGAGGCTTAACAAAGCAGTCTTCTCAATTGGTACCCCACTGATCACTTACAAACATTTCACGTATTACACCACTGGAAACCTGGGTTACAAGTTTGCACCATTTATGAGATACACTGTGAAACTTGTCATGACTTCAATATCTCTCAAACTGGCAACCACCATCATCCAGGACAAAGATCACTTGAGCACCACCACCTCAAGTCACAAACCATCCAGAAATATACAACTTTCTTCACTAGCACTGGGTCAAAATCCAAAACCACCCAACCTTTACCACACATACTGCAGCTGTTCAAGGTTGCACCTCACTTGTGCTTACTCAACAGTAATACTGATGACAGAAAAATATAAATTTGGTTTGTGACACCAAGCAGAACAAGCTGCAGGAAGATGAACAAGGAGGTTGGAAGAAGTTTGCAGGAAGCATATAACTGCACATGATGATTAGGGAGCTCAGCGTAGAACAATGGGCAACTTATCTGCCTTTCACCACTGGAATCTACCACCTCAGAGAATGTCAAGGAACACAAACCAGGGGCTGTTGCAATAAAAAAATTTTCAAAAGTTTATTGCGTAAGTTTATTGCAAATCAGCTTCCTCCAGTGAAAGAAAGATTGCAATCTGTCACGGTTAACCGTTTTTTTGTTGTTTAAAATCTGTTACAAACTCTACTCCGACAGCTAATACATTGTTTTCTCTCTTACTAGAGACAAGCAGGAAGGGCAAGAATCTGGATCCTACATCGGTGGTGGACAGCTTCTGGGTGAAATAATACTTGCAACACTTTGAAGACTTTTGAAAACGTGTGGGCAATATATCTTCTTCTCTAGTAAAATACTTAAAAGTCCGAAGAAAGCCAATTTACTTGATCTCACCACTCACTAAGCTTTTTAGTTAACCAGCAACCAAAAAGCTTTGCAGTTATAATATACCAATCACCTGAGCCTCCCAAGAAGTAAAAGGAACCTGGAGAAAAGAGACTGAAGATCAGGAAACCCTCGCAAGCAAAAAGGATCATCTCAGCAAACTCGGGACTGGAGCCATTGAACTGCTTACCCAATTTTTCTTCCCCCCACAGAAGCGTAGGTACGTAGAAAATAGGAGCAGGAACAGGCCATTTGGCCCCGAGAGCCTGCTCAGTAAATCGATGCAATCGTTATTCAACTTGGTATCCTTTCCCATTTTTCTCCCAATACTATTTGAGGTGTTTAGCTTTAAGAACTATAACCATCTCCTTTTTGAAAATCTTCAATATTTTGGTCTCAAGTTTCCTGTGACAGAATTCTATAGGCTCACCACTCAGTAATGAAATTTCTCCTCGTCGTCGTACTAAACGGCCTACCGCATGTCCTTGGACTGGGGCCACTAGTTCTGGATTCCCTGGTCATCAGGAACACCTTTCCTGCATTTAATCTATCCAGTTCTGTTAGAATTGTGTGTGTTTCTAGGAGATTCACCCTCATTCTTCTGAACACCAGTGAATATTGTCTTAAACAATCCAGTCTCTCTTCATACATCAGTTTGCCATCTCAGCCATCAGTCTGGTAAACCTTTGCTGCATTGTCTCCATAGCCATAACATCCTTTCTCAGATAAGGAGACGAGAAGACCACAATATTCCAGGTTTAGTCTCACCAAGGCCGTGTGCAATTACAGCAAAACATCTCTGCTCCTGTACTCCAATCCTCTTGCTATGAAAGCCAACATACCGTTTGCCTTGTTCAATGCCTGTTGCATTTACATACCAACTTTCATCAACGTGTGTATAAAGACACCCACGTCTCTTGCACGTCCCCAACAATACCTATCGCCACTCAGATAGTGCGAGTGTGCGCGGGGGGTATGTGAGGCATGTGGGGCGTGTGAGAGGCGTGAGGGTGGCAGGGGGTGGGCGTGTGTGAGGCGTGAGGGGAGCAGGGGGCAGACATGCGTGGGGCATGTGCGATGGTTAATGGGTGTTTAAACCCATCAAAAGCTCATAGTTGGTTACCTACAATTAGAATCTATTTATTTATAAGAAAAAGTAACTTGTTAAATTCAAAAACCAGGTCTATTTTCTCTGTTATTACACATCAATCAGATAAGTTTGAAAACTACAGGGACTTTGAATATTTTGATCATTTTTATTCAACTTTTCCATGAGGCATCATGCAAGTCTGCTGCTTCAGCTGCATTGCAGCAAAAAGGATGGCAACTTCAGCAGATGCACCACTGAAAGCATTCTATAGGGTGCATAACGGCCTGATACGGTAACTGCTCTGCCCCGGAACGTAAGCAACTACAGAAGGTTACGTGCACAGCCCAGACCATCACGGAAGCCAACCTTCAATCCATTTACACTTCTTGTTGCCACGGAAAGACTGCCAAAGACCCTCCCACCCGGGTACTGCTCTCCAACAACTTCTTCCATCAGGCAGAAGATACAGAAGCTTGAACACATGCATCAGCAGGCTCAAGAACAGCTTCTTCCCTGCTATTATTAGACTAGATGAGTGGACCTCTCTAACTTCAAATAATGCTGATCTTGTTAATGTTGATCTTGCTTCATGCACCTCCTGTGCAGTGTAACCTGTATGCCTCACTCTGTCTAAGCACCGTATGTTCTTGTTTACTATCTTCTGCCTGTACTACTTGCAAACAAAGCTTTTCACTGTACTTCGGTACGTGTGACTACAATAAATCATATAAATCAAATCAAGTGCTGTTGGCCAAATATCTAGTGACTCCAATGTGCAGCCCATTCACATGATCTGCCCAAATACAATTAAGCACATGCTGCTACACAACACTAATATACTATGCGAAGTTTTGTGTTAAGTCATCATCACTTCGTCTGGACTACCGATTTCCAAGGAGCACGACAATGCGTGACCGAGCAGACATCAAGATTTGTGGTGATCTGGCACAGCCTTGCACCAGTGACCAGCTAAGAGGCAGAAGTAGGAAAAAGGAAGGAGGAGACATCCCAAAGCCAGCCCCTTTCTATCAGGGCTGTTCACACAGAAAGCAGTGTTGCCACTAACTGAAACCTCAATTTCTCATTCACCGTCAGAGAACCCATCATCCTGCCTTCAGATTTTGAATAGGAAACTCCAGCCCATGGTGACAAACTAAAACCGAGTAACACATCAAGTCTCACCCTTATGAAAATTATGACCAATGAGTAGTTCTTGGCCTGGAAATTATAATGATGAGGCTCATGTAAATTGTACAGCAAACTATGCCATATGCAAGTGAAATTAAACAAAGCTGGTTGTTGAGCTGTTGAGATATCCCCTTCCACCAGTCCTGGTATCAAGCAATGGTGTGAACTTGGGGCACTTGCCCACATGATGACCGATGCAATCAGAGTAGGTAAAACGTCGATATGGCCCTGTAAATTTCATTATTTTGTCAAGTATGGAATCTCATCCCTTAATAAAGATTATAAAGAAAACTTAACACTATTCTTCTGTCTCCTCTTTCCCTCAATCCCATTTCTTTTTCCCTCCATTCTATTTAACTTGCTGTACATGATTTAAATCTGTTTCACACTTCTTGGCTCAGACTCAAAGAATTCTCAAATGCCACAATCTGATAGCTTGAATAGCCTCACTGTTGCATAACTTCATCTCAGAATTTCTAGCAATTGCAATAGCACAAAGAAAAACTCCTTACAACACAAAAAAAAAACAACTCATTTCAGGTTCAGAACTAAGAGTATTCAGTCACCAAAATGTTTTGCCCAGCAGAAAACAAACAGTCAGTGAGCACAGCTGCACAGGCCCTGTAGTACCAATACTTGCAGGTTTAGGTCTGCTGTAGAGGCTTTGATCTCAGTAAAACTGATGTCTTGCGGGAGGACACAACAAGGAAAACTAGAGGACTCTGGCAGTTCTCCACTACTATAACTAATTAATTCACAACAAGTATATTACTGAAAAGACATTGTGATCTTAACAGAGACAAAATTTCTTTTGTGCAATTAAATTTGTCAAGTATATACATGGTTTTAACAGTAACAAATAAAAACAAATGTCATCTTTCAAAATCAGTGTTTAAATAAATGAACTAAATACTCACATCATCTTCATAACGGATATGGACATTCGTAATTTTAACCTGTAAATTCTTAATAACCTGTGTAATTAACTTTTCAAGGAAAGTATCTTGCTTCCCTTCCTTTGGATTTTCTGTAAGAGAGAACAATTTTAATAATAATAGTTATCACATGATTGCATTTCATACTTTCCCCTTCAGTATATATTGAAACAAAAACTTCAAACTTTGTGTATTTGCTGGCAAGGAAATCCATCAATCACCATCAAAAACCTGCTAAAACATTTACTAATTTCTATTATGTGGCAAGCAATGTTCCATGTCACAATACATACCCAAGATGCAGATCAGATTTCATTTCTGTAGAAAATTACCTAAGTTAATATAGCTCCAGTCAATGTTTACACCAGCTTGCAAGTAAAACACCGAGATTTACAAATTTGTTAAAATACAATACAAAATTTAAGCACAACTTAAAAAGATATTCTAGCACTTAATACGTTCTACACATAACTAGTCGATTTTTTTTCCTATAAACATTAATCTTCTCTTCAAATGGCTTATGTTACAGAGCTAGATATCAGAATATACTCTCACTTATAAGGGATTGTTTTCCTATTCCCATGAGATTTGGTTCATAAAGTACCAAAGCATCGCAGCATCAAAGAAGCACCATATGCCTGTAAAAATCTAAAGGCTTTTTAGAAATCCTCTGATTTCCCAATGGCTAAATGATACGTGTGTTGTGGTAATGATCCACACAAAGCAGAAATGCTACAGACTGAATCCCCTGTACAACAAGTCCCCATTTAACATTATTTTGTTTTAACATTAACTGACCAATGAGGCTTGTATTTTGGTCTAGTGAAGGAGATTGGTTTTAAAATCATGTCCCAGTAGGAGTTAGGTCACATGGCTTGACCAGCACCATTTGAAGCAGTATCGCCTACTCCCTAGCCTCCAACTTGCTATGTCTACCATTTCCCTGGCCAAAATTCTTGACGATTCTTCCGCTTCCCAATTCTCCAACTCATACCTGCCTATATCCTAAACAAAACTCCTATCCTGAGCTGAATGGTGGCTGTTTTTTTGTTTTTTTTTAAAAATGCTTCTGCTCACCTCTTCCGTCACCTAAATTTGTACAGTGAGTGATAAGATGCAAGAGGAGAGCTTCAATAGTCAAGGTCGGAGGTAAGGGTATCAAAATGTTATTTTCTTAAGGGCTCGTGAGATTCAAGGGTTATATTTTTACTTTTGGGAGCAAATTTGTTTCAAGGGACTTTTTCATTCTCATTTACTCTTATTAGATGACAGTGACAGCAATAATATTACAGATAGTAGGAACTGCAGATGCTGGAAAATCTGAGATAACAAGGTGTAGAACTGGATGAACAGAGCAGGCCAAGCAGCATCATAGGAGCAGGAAGGCTGACGTTTCGGGCCTAGACCCTTCATCAGAAATGGGGGAGGGGAAGGGGGTTCTGAAATAAATAGGGAGAGAGGGGGAGGCGGATAGAAGATAGATAGAGGAGAGGATAGGTGGAGAGGAAACAGACAGGTCAAAGAGGCGGGGCTGGAGCCAGTAAAGGTGAGTGTAGGTGGGGAGGTAGGGAGGAGATCGGTCAGTCCAGGGAGGACAGACAGGTCAAGGGGGCGGGATGAGGTTAGTAGGTAGGAAATGGGGGTGCGGCTTGAGGTGGGAGGAGGGGTTAGGTGGGAGGAAGGACAGGTTAGGGAGGCGGGGACGAGCTGGGCTGGTTTTGGGATGCGGTAGGGGGAGGGGAGATTTTGAAGCTTGTGAAATCCACATTGATACCATTGGGCTGCAGGGTTCCCAAGCGGAATATGAGTTGCTGTTCCTGCAACCTTCGGGTGGCATCGTTGTGGCACTGCAGGAGGCCCAGGATGGACATGTCGTCTGAGGAATGGGAGGGGGAGTTGAAATGGTTCGTGACTGGGAGGTGCAGTTGTTTATTGCGAACCGAGCGTAGGTGTTCTGCAAAGCAGTCCCCGTGCCTCCACTTGGTTTCCCCGATGTACAGGAGGCCACAACAGGTACAGCGGATGCAGTATACCACATTGGCAGATGTGCAGGTGAACATCTGCTTGATGTGGAAAGTCTTCTTGGGGCCTGGGATGGGGGTGAGGGAGGAGGTATGCGGGCAGGTGTAGCACGAGAATTTTGTTCTGTTTGGGAATAATTAGTAGTTAAGGGGGAATTGTTTGATTTGTTAGTGCTTCTGTTAATTTGTTCACTGTTCGGATTAAACAAATAGTTACTTGTTGCTTATAAAGTGAATATCAGGGATTTTCTTTCATTTAACACTCCTCCTTAACATATTGGATGAGGTGAGGTGAGCTTCTCTAGGTGTTTCAGGTTTAATTAGAAGGAGATCTCTACGACAGCCATAACGATTTGGGGGCTTGTCTTTCAAATTTTAATCATTAGACGGTTCAACCTCCCTTTCCTACTACACCTACTCAATGAATGACTGAACAATGGACCTGACATTCTGCAGTACCATCAACCATCTCCTGCCTGTCCCATACTCAGCTTCTCCTGTCCCAGGCCAGGTCACTGCTCCAACCTCCTGCACCTCTGCTGCCTGGTGACCCTTGGATCAGCCAGATTAACTCCACCAAACTCATCCAAGCATACATCTCCTCCCTTTACCATGACTGGCAGAGAAGGGACTCGTGATTGGTGGAATTGGAGGAGCAACATTAAAAAGCAGAATATTTGATTCAAAGAGCTGCTCCTCTCAGATTATGTTTCTTCCACTTCTGCACAAGTAAAACGCTACCATATTTTCTTTATACTTCTGTGATTTTATTTTAAAATTTATTTCATTTACCAAAATTAGAAATCAGCAATTGGCAGGGTATTCTTTTTTTCCTCTGATGAAGAAAACACTAAAGACCTAACTACAGCTTTTAATTTGGTTTTAAGGAAAAGTGTAATTTGTTTAAAGACGTTGCATGTGAAATGATGATATTTAAGAACATAGCTTCAAGTGAGGATTTACTTTGCATGACAGTGAACTGATCTCAGTCAGATCAATAGCAGGACATAAATTAAAGACCACAACAAAAATAAGATGCTGTAGGCAACATGTGGGGGAGAATTTTTGAATGACTGTTTTATTGGGTGATATTCACTTCGTGAGGAAACAGTCAAAAGATTGAGAATGATATTTTATGCACCCCCTGAGGTGGGTTTGAAGGCAGATAAGATTTTTAGATTGAGACTCTAATAGCTGGTTAATTGTCAGATAGGAATATAGTTCATGGATCTTCTTGTCTTTTGTCAAGGCTCCAGTGTATGGCAAGTCACCTCCATAAAATTGCTCCTGCTACTTTAGGTTATTCAGTGCAATGGAAAAGAAAATTCACTGCAACCTAGAAGTGGCACACTATTTAAAACACATCAAAAACTGCTAATTTAACATTTTTTAAAAGTGACAATGTACATGCCAGAAATCTTAAAACAAGAAAATGCAAAAGTTAATCAAAGCGATGGAGTGGACAGAGTATGGGTACCCTGAATTCAAATATTGCAGAACCTGTACATATATGGCTCAAATGATTGAGGTAATATTGGGAAAAGCCAATTAAACAAGAGTTGATTAGGAATTAAATATAATGCACAATGAAAGAAAGCTACATGGTATCTGTTCAAAGTACCTTTGTCAGCAACCTTTTGCTTAGCTTCTTCAATTCTTTGTAATTCTCTCTGCTTGATTTCTTGAAGTTGCAATTCCTCTTTTTCAGCATCATATTTGATACCTAAAACATAAATTACATGTGAATGATTGCGTGTGGGGGTGAGTGCATGAGGAGACAGGTACACAAGTCGGGGGGAGAGAGCAGGGTTGGAAGTGCTTTACATTCATGTTTGGGATCCCTTCTGTCAAAACAAAAAGTTAGTTGAACATATGCATTTTTCGAATTACCAGGGAGCTCAAGGATCCCATCATTCTTCATTTTTGTCCAAGGCACTGCTATTGAAGATCAGTTGATGTGCTAACCAGACAGCATTCTTTACTTGTATAATTGTTGTGCGCGCATGCATGCGAGAGGGAGAAATTTGGTGTTCTTGCTTTTGCCATGACGACAAGACAAATATATCAACCAGTTGCTTTTCAGCAAAAGTAATATGCTGTAGATATTGAAAATACTTGGCATTTATGACAAGAAATAGAGTTGATGTTTCTAGTCAGGGGCCCCCATTAGCCTCCACCCTACCTCACCATCAGATCTGACACCTACCCTCCTGGACACCACCGAATCTAGTTTTACTCCCACCTGCCTTCTCATGGGAGTATTAAATACACTCAGATTGAAAACACTGAACTCAAATTGCCTGCATCATAGCTACAGTGATCACCATAGAATACACGGCCTCCGTATATGGATGCCAGCAGTATCATTGCTCACACTGCAGATTTGCAAACTACTCTTAATCTCTACAACACTACAAACCTTTATCCTTTAACCTTGCTGAAAAACAGAATATACATCAAACCAGACCTGGTCAGTCAAATTAAGCGTAGGACACTGAGATTATAAGAAAAGTTCAACAGGACAACATGGAATGTTAACATACCTCTTTTACAGGAATGGGGCTACAAGTCATTGAACACAGAATCAGAATCATTGCAATGCAGATAGTGGCCATTCAGCCCATCATATCTGCACCAGCTCTTTGAACATCATAAGATATCATCCTCCTCCTGCTCTTTCCCCGTGACCCTACACATTATTTCTATCATCCAATACCCATTTAAAAATGTTTCAATTGAAGCTGCCTCTGCCACACTTCCAGGCAATGCAGTCCAAACCCTAGCCTGTCACTCTGAAAAGTTTCTTCTCATTTCACAGTTAGTTTATGTGCAAATCATCTGTGCCTTCTAATTCTTGAGTAGTCTATGAGTAGGAACTGTTCCTCCCAGTCTACTGTGCAAACTTTTCAAGATTTTGAACATTTCTATCCAATTTCCTCTTTATTTTCTCTCAGGACAAGGCTAACTCTCATCTGCTCCAATCTATCTTATAGCTGAAGTTCACAGCCAGGAATCATTCTTGTAAACCTCTTGTGCGTCTTCTCCAAAGCATTCACATCCTTCCAAAAAAATGTACCCAGAACAGAAACTTCGTAGCAACAAAAATAAAAAAGCATTGCAGGCATGAAGGAGAAACCCAATTAAAAAGTTAGAAAGCGAGGCTGCAATCATTAGGTGCTAGCAACTTCAGGTGATTACTTAACAAGGTTTATTGGTAAACAATTTGAATACTCAAATATGTTAACATTTATTTGCTGGTAGCTGTAAAATGAAACACTTTTCAATTATTTTCTTTTAAGTTGTTAAACCCTGTAACAATTTAAAATAAACTATAAACTCACTAAACATTACAAATTTTGAAGAATTTCTCTTCTAATTTACAGGCCAATATGAACGAGTCTTAAAATTTTTAAGGCGGCTTATTCTTGGAACACCCAATCTGATAGATGGGCTACCTTCTTTATTGGTAGGCAATTTCTGTGGAGAATTCACAGTGGAAGATCGAAATGAGGTAATACGCTTCCATGCATCTTTCTGATCACAAAACTAGTTTTATTCTATTCATGGAGCATGAGCATCATGGACAAGGCCTGAATTTCATGCCCATCCCTACTTGCCCTTGAGAAAGTGGTACTGAGTTACTGCATTAAGGCGACAGCATATTAAAGTTTTAATGCAACATCACATAACAGTTTGAACAAAGTTTGGAATTTGATGAGAAAACCAAACTCAACAAATCCAGAACTTATAAAAAACATCTTCGGCAACCTAATATTCTGGAATAAATACCAAAAGAACTGCGAATGCTGTAAATCAGGAACAAAA